ATTTCTGTCCTATAATGTTCAGCTCTTCAATGCCTATTGGAATCGTCTTCATTCAGCGATCAAAGTAAGGATACTTTTGTAGTAATTACGCGATATTACAGTGAACTTCGTATGTGGAATTCTTCCCAGTAATTTAAATAGCTTCGAACTTCCAATCTCTCAGTTGTCATTTCCAGTTCATTTGACATGTTTTGAATTACTGTCTGAAAATGTGAAATCAGTGTCAGGCCTGAAAATGAATTTTAATAAAGAATGGTATTCGTACCTTTTATAAATGAGGTTCCTCAGTCTGTCAGTATTTAACATTCTTGCATAATGAATAATAATTAAAGTCCCTTAGTGTGTCCTAAGCGTACCCTTAGCGTACTTACATGTACAAAAAACTGTACTTGTCAGTTTTGAGAGTCTTCACTAGCCCAACACTAAATATGGCACCCTATATCCTCCAGTGGTCTGTCCCCTCTTCTGTACACCCCATGACTCCATATCAACCATCCACACCTACCTTGTCTCTAAATCCCCTTCCAAAAATAAATCTGTAATCATAATAATAGAGGAAGGGAGTTGAGGATTCTTTCAAGGTGAAAATACCTGGATATGCTTTACAGTAAATTGGGCTGTCGGCATGATTGTGAATAGATCTGTTGTATATGCTACATTATTGGTTGATCCTGTAGGAATCTCCAACTATTATCCAATTTTTCTTTTAAATAGTTGTCTTGATGTAGCAAGTTTCTATTGCGCTGTGACCAGTAACCATCATGCTGCTCCCAGTTGCATGTACCTCGTTGTTATTGTCAGTGAGTGAATTGATCATTCACTCCCTAGACTCTTAAATAAAGTGAGCTCACTGCAATGACATAATAACTTGCCTCAGCATGCATAGCAAAAACTCTGATTGTATAACTTCTTCTGTTACAGTCACCAAAGCAATCTTCCGGATGCTTGAGTAAGAAATTGTAGTAGAATCTAGCTCTAGGGGTAGCCATGAGCCATGACTGGAGCTACCTCTTCTATAATGACATGATGCACACTAAAATTGTCAGATGGCAGAATGATTGACCAACCAGATTGCAGTGTTATCAACCAGCAGCACAGCATATTTGACCAGATCTATCAATTGCATCCAACAGAACTCCATCTAGGCCTACGTATTAGAGAATCCTGAACTTACATGTACAAGACTTGAACACATTCCAGGATAAACCCTAAAAGAACTGATGAGTTTTATCGGACCATCTTATCAAAGCAATCTCAATAGACATGCCATTTATTTTGTAAAGTTTAGTTTAACAAGTTTGAATGGTTATTTGTTACATGTGCTTTTTCCAGGCATTAATTGGTTAATGTTTCTGTTTTTAATGTTTCCTAGGCAGCAGGTGGGGAGACTCGTACTGGCAAGGTTGCCAAAAAGTACACAGTCACAGAGAAGCAAAAGAAAATTCCATGTAGCAAGAAGTTCAGACAGTCACTGAGGGTCAGGAAGAGTAACCAGACAGATTCCACAAGTAACCATGAACAGTCTACCAATGGACATGTGAAAAGGTCATCAATAAGTGCTGAGCACGATCTCAAAGGTGTTGTTCCAGGGACTTCACACAGTAAGTCAATGAGACCCTCATCTGTTTGTTCATAGCAATGACACAATGTATCCTATGACATGTATATTTCTTTTCTTGCAACAGCATAAATTGACGAGGATGCTTGTACTTTGTACGGTATGTTGTCATTTGCTTTGCACTGGCGGTGCAAGCAGGGGGGGCAGTACCCTCCCCTCCCCCACTTTCTTCAACTTGGGGTACATGGCCCCTCCACTTTTTTGCATGTCCTGTAATGGGATGGGGCTTAATGGATTAGCCAAGTTATGGCTGATGACTGATGGTCTCACAACTGCCCCCCTCCCACTGTGAAAATCACTCTGCCGCGGATTTTGCTTTCTCTATGCCATTAGCACTGTGAAAGAAATACTAGATAATGCTGACATGCTACTAAATCCTGCTCCAAATTAGGGCCTTGATGAAATCAACCAACACTCAGACTGCCTTTGATTTGTTCCTACTCAGTAAAAGGAAATCTGATTAGAATCTACATTTAGCTATTTATTCATTTCTCCATTCATCAAAATTGATACATGTACATGTACGTATATTATTCAAATATTAAATGGGTTTTGGCTAAATGTTATTTGAACTTAAATGCTTTGGTTGAGGTGCTTCACCGCAATAAAGTGTGGCCAGTGTAGCATTCACTGTCTGTGTCCCTGTCATTTGTGTAATTTGGACATTTGCCTCAGATCCCAAAGCCAGCACTTCCTCCATTTAGGCCAACCATTTGTGATTTTTCCTTCGTAGACGTCAGAAAGAAAAGAAGTAGCAACAGTCTGACTTGTCAGGATTCAGTCACAACTGCACCTCCTCCCAAAAGAAAGTATGTTAGTAAAAAGCCTCCTGTCAAGGTAATGTGACCAGCATTGCTGCTGCCAGACTAAAGGGACTGTGTAATAGAAATGTTTTACAAAAGTCATTGTAGTTGCACCTTTGTGTTTGAATTAATCTTATTTTCAATTTTTGTTTTGCTGTTTTTATTTGTATTTGGGGCCTTTTTTGGTTTTTATGCATATACATGTTGAATTTGCATATTCATGAGAATATTGTGATGTAATTTGAGGCATTGAGCCTCAGTATTGCATTGATTTTTGTGCAAAAATTGCTACATTGTTACATTTTACTACTGCAGATTTCCTTTTCCTTTGCAGTTTATTGCTGTTTATTTATGGCAATATGTCAGAGAACAACCTTTCTAACTAATGTTTTTTGACGTATTCCTTGCAGACTGATATTTGTTATCAGGAAGAACCAGGGACCTCTTTGACAGCTCTGTTGCAAGAACTGCCTGCAGCAGGCACAGACAGTGCCGCAGAAGCTGAGAAGTTGTTCCGTTGGCTCATCAGTCCAGTAACCCCGGATGATTTTTTCAAGTAAGATTGATTAATTGTAGACCGTGAGAATATTGGCCTGTAGCTTACCTGTATGAAAGTTTACCCCAATGAAAATGTCCAGGTTGTGTTGAAGAGTGCCTTCTCACTTCTGGTGGCTGTAAAACTTGCCTAAATACCCCCGGATATGTAAATGCAGTGATCAGCATGAGAACTTGACTACTACTGATGTGATCAGAGCAGAATGGTCCTGACGTTCATGTCAGTAATACGGGTGATATGTTATCTGCTCCTGTTTTCTTTTTCTGTCTCAAGCGGACTGTGGGAGAAGAAACCATTATTGCTTAAACGACACATGCCCGACTACAATGCTGATCTTTTTAGCTGTGAAGAACTCCACAACATCTTGAGAGAGGTGGGTGAAAACATTGGGTATTTTGGTAGCTTGGGGAGGCTTGTACCTTGTGTTCGGATCAGGCTAAGAAAAGAAGAGCTCTACTTTCAATTACCTGCCTTTTAAAAAAGAAGGTTGGTAGGTCGGATTTGTGTTTTTTATTTTGGTTCAAATGTTTTTGTGCTGATTGAATGGGGATGAAAGCTACCAAAAGTTACCTCAAAAATTAGAAAAACTTGCCTTGGCATTTTGATGTGAAAAAAGTTGTTGAGAGGTGTTTTGTGAAGTGGGAAAAGACAGGATTTTGAATTTTTTTTTAAATTTATATTTTTGTTTATTTGTTTTTTTAACTTGTCGATAAAAATTTTAGGAAAGCACCAAGAAATCAGAGTTGGCCAGAAAACCGGAAGCAGAATTTTTGGGGGGCCTAACTGTGTATAACCATGGATAGTTTGGTGATTCCTTGTTTCTGTTTGTGACATAGACTAGAGGGCAGACTTTTCTAACAAATATTTTCAGTGAGCACATTTTTGTTCACAATGTGAACAGGAAACTCCCAACATAAAAAGTGTCGCCCCGTAATAAAATGTCACTTGAACATTTCCCTCTTTTGCCAGGAAAGTTTGGAAAATTGCACTTTTCATTGAGAATGACTGTCAAACTTTTCTCACATTTTTAAGACCAAAAGCAGTAGAAAATTGCTCAAGAATGTTTCTAAGTAAAATCACATCATGGACATCAAGCAACAACTTGTTTGGGAGTGGTTTGAATTTCTTACCTGGTTTTCTTTGGGTCAAAGCATCTGTACTGCGAGGTATAGGGCATTGGGATTGCTTTGCATACAGGAAAATTGAGAGATGAGGAGAGGTTTATATCTCTGTAAATAGTTCAGCAAAAGTTGCTACTACTAAGCACAGATTTTTACATATCATTGATATAGTACACACATATGGACTGGCAATGAGGTCACTAGTGCACGTCTATGTCCCCCAGAGGCTGTAATTGACCAGAAGAGAGTCCTATTCTCTGAGGCCCAAAGTCGAGGGAAATAAGACCTTCTTTTGGTCACTCACAAGCCCGAGGGGGCATGGGCGTGCACTAGTGATCGAATTTGGCCAGTCCATATATGTTTTATAACGCACCTCATACTAGAAAATATTCTTCCAGGGTTTTAACTGTTTTAATTCAACTTTCACTTCAAAAATCGAAAAAAAAATTGAAGGTTTATTTCAGTGTCCCTTGACGTAGTCTGATTTTGTGTTTCTTGATTCAACAAGGAAAAGAAATCTTCCAGGGTTTGGACTGTTTCAATTCAACTTTTCACTCAATACCAATTCAAAAATTGCAAAAATTGGTTCATTTTAGTTTTCATAGATGCAGTCTAATGTTGAGTCACTATGTACAACTAGGAAAAGGAATCTTCCAGGGTTTTAACTGTTTCAATTCAACATTTTAAAATGAGCCGTAGCAACCTCCAGAGGGCACAATAACTAGTCACAAATATTCAAGACTAGTACCTGATCGGACACTAGTCTGTGGAATTGCGTTGTGTCAACACTGATGCCAAATTCATGTACTAACCCATATTGGTGAACTACACATGACCATATTTAGCCAAGCAGGATAAAGAACCAGGAAGAGGTGTTTTGTAATAAATAGCTATTGACTGCCTCAAGTGGTATAGTAAAAGTAGCCTGATCCAGGAAGCATTCTATGTATCTCAAGGAAAAGCCTGGGGAAAAATAGAATACTCTTTGGATCACTGAGAAAGGCTAATTTTACTACACCATGGGATAAAGAAGTCATTATGTATGTTATAACACCTCTCTTGCAGATTTTAACCGATTGAAGTGACAACTGATCAGTTTAATTGTACAATAAAGAAGTCTTTCTGTACAAATTCTAAATTTGTTGGAAATCAATCACACTTTTCAAGACTATTTCTTGTTTGAAATGTTTGAACTCGGCACTGTAGCCTAATACTCAGGAATATGTGCAACGTGCATGTACCCATATACATTCGCAAACAATACCTGATGTGTAGTACTGTAGTTGCTAGGGATATATAGTACTATGGTTGCTATGGGAATAGTACTTTTGGCTATACATAACAAGATAGCAAAAGTAGGGGATGCCGCGTAACTAGCTTTTTGTCAAGATAAAGAATCTGGCTGAGGTATTATGAGAGAAATTGTATTTTGCTGTTTCTATGTGTTTCTCTTATGGTTGTTTACATGTTTGTTTGGATTACAGAATGACCTTCAATTTACTACTAACATTGATGTGACAACCTACTCAGAAGGCAAGAGACAGACACATAATCCTGTCGGTCGAGCTCATGCACCTGTGGTCTGGGACTTCTACAAGGTTTGCAGTTTTGGGAATTGAGAATTAGTACATTTTTTTTATCTTCCAACAACAAGAGATATTCATCCCTTTGAGTTTAAACATTGAAGTTAATGTTTCCTAATGTGTTAACAGATGTCAGCAATTACGAGGTTTCCTAGCTGGTCAAATATCAGACCTTCAAATATGATTACCTTGACAATTTTCAGAGGGCTCTTAGATTTTTCAGATTAAGAAACCCACTTTCCTTCATCTAAATTACAGGTAGTTTGTAGTTCTTCTGTCATGTCTTTAATATTTTTAACGAGGGAAGTCCAAAACACAGGGTGCACCAAACTTTGGACAAGGCGGTGAAGTAACACTGGTTACTTGATTACCTTACCACCCATGCTGGAATGGTTTCAAATTACGGAGCTTTGTATTGGTAATCAACATTTAACTTTAATAACCTCTCACACAGAGAAAAGGAAAAGCTTTAAAAAATTTTGTCGAGAAATTTGCAAGATCTTTGTCCTTTGTTATAACTTATGACCCCTCTATGTGAAAATAAGTCAGAAGTCACCATAGCCACACTGAGTTTAGGTTTGGATTGGAAAGAGCAAACCGAGCTCTGTTTTGATGTATCACTCGGTTTGGTATCCTGATGGAAATGGACATTATTTGAGTGAAAGATGTTGACAGTTTATGTTAATTGTCATTATGCAATATTCTTCAACTCGAATCACTCTGGCAACAGCTCTGGCAACTTGTGACTCATTTTCATAGAGCAGGTCACATTTAATAGCCTATAGCAAATGTCATAATTCAAAGGATAGTCTAAACTGGTCAGTCATTGCTGGATGTCATCTTTCAAAACACTTCAGTTCACATCTCAAGAAATTTATAACGTGAAAGATAAAATGTTTACTGAATTTCAGGAGGGTTTTGATAATTGTTTTGTGGATTGTGCTTTTTATTTGGTTTACAGAATGGTTGCTCCGTACGGTTGCTCAATCCTCAGACATACTCAGATGCAATCTGGAAGTTAAACTCCCTGCTTCAGGAGTACTTCGGGAGCTTTGTGGGAGCAAATATGTAAGCAGTTTGTGGCCTTAATTGGTTGATTTTGTGAATGCTGGGAACCAGGAAATGTTTGGGACAAAGTAGATCTTAAATATAAATGTATTATTGGCTCTTGGTGTAATTAGCACTCAGCATGCGCTTTGATGGGAGAAAATGAAGATAATTGCTTAAGTTAAATGTGTTCCTGTGCTGTCATTTCAGTTTCTACTTGAAGGTTAACAAAAAGCACTTGTTGTGTCAAACTTGCAGGGTTCTTAATCACATCTTGCTTGTCCATGTCGAGGACCACCAAGTTTCATATGACAATTTCTGAAGCCAAACATGTTTAGATTGATCCGAAGAGATGTCTTTACTGCAGTGGCACCACCCACTTGTGTATGTTGCTTGTAATTAAAACTTGAGATGTCAGTGTAACACATTATTGGTCAGATGGGCGTTTCATGTGCCTGAGTACGTTCTGTTTGATCACTTGTGTCATCGGCCCGATGCTGATGTAATGGCACTTTTAAAAGGGCTGTGTGTTGAGAAATTGTCTGGCCTGACAGTGAACCCATATTTTTGTCTGCAACAGATACCTGACCCCAGCAGGTTCCCAAGGCTTTGCTCCTCACTATGATGACATAGAAGCCTTCGTTTTACAACTTGAAGGAAAGAAATACTGGCGATTATACAGCCCCAAAAACTCACAAGAAGTCTTGCCAAGATTCTCAAGTGGTAATAACAGATATATAGAATAAACCTGCACATATTTAAGAGTGCCTAACAATACCATCAACTACAGTTGATGAGGTAAAATATGAGATCACTAAAACTGTTGGCCAGAACTACCAAGCATGTAGCTTCTGTGTTAATTTATGAGTTCAGATCTATTCTCATTAAACCAATTCTAAGGTTGATAGCAGAAATTAGCTGAAGTCAAACGCCAAATTAAAGTTAATTTGCACTGCATGAAAACCAAGTTTCACTCAGGGCTGTGATGTGATGGTTGCCTCTTTTCTAAAACTAGTGTGAAACAATGAAAGGATCAATGTTTGAAATCAAACTGGTATTGGCAAATACATGTAGATCAAAAGGACATTTACACATACATGCAGACAGTCAAGTACCCAGACTGTTACAATATGGAGGGGACAATTTCTTTTCATAAGGGATTTGAGATTGAGTTTTCAGGACAATAAAAGCCTGGTCCCCAAAACATGCATGTTTCAAGATATGTGTATGATGCTAGTATACATGTACATGTATGTGAACTTCTTGTTGGTTGGGTAGTAAGTGTTTATTGAAACTACTTCATTTTCCAACCCAGGCCTGCTGGAGGAGAGTTCGTCTATTTGGGGGGATTTTAATGGCAACTGCTATTGCCAGAATATTGCCAGAATAGCAAAGCTGGATTTCATGGTACAATTTCACTGCTTCCTGTCTTGTTAAACCTGGGTTTCATGTCTGAAGTTGTAATGATCTTTGTAATTCCCTCCTACAAGCCAACTTTACTCAAGAGGAGATTGGTGAGCCAATTTTTGACACAGTCCTAGAGCCTGGTGATCTGCTTTATTTCCCGAGAGGAACAATACATCAGGTGAAGCAAAGAGCCAATTCAAGCATTTCTTCTAAATAATGTTAAGCTTATTTAGATTACATTGGTGCAGATTTCGCAAACCAAAAGAAACAGACTTGGTTTATCCTGTCTTTTATATTTGATCAATTGTATTGAAATGCATTTATTATGGTTATCAATTGACATTTCTTATCATCTGAACTTGTTTCCACCAAAAGTGTCACTTTTTCCAGGTCAAAAAAGTGTGATAAATACAACAAGGATTGATCTGTATACTTCGGGAGAAATCAGTTTTTCAGACATACTCCAACTGCGTATATGTAGATTTTAACAGAATTTTTAGGGTAGTTGGTGTCAGTTTCTGACCTCTTTTAAAATGGTGACAGTTAGTTCCACTCATAGTTGTCACTAACTCAAATCTGTCACGTGTTTTGGGTAGAAACACAGCCAAATGCTTTGCCTAACAGTTGTCTAAGTGCAGACCTGTGGAGAGTAAAAATAGCATCAGGGAAACAGTTTCAAGTCAGCCATGGAGTTGCACCTTGTTTGTCTGAATAAAAAAACTGTCCAGAATTGACCCAAGCTGCGGTGTCTTTACAAATAAATAGCATCCATCAGCTAGATTTGTTTATTTGCATGCACCTTGTTGCATTTACCCTGAAAAGGTCTGGATTGGGGAACTGTCTCGCAGCTGAGCAGCTGAGTGGGAAAGGGAAGCATCTGCGCAGTGACAAATCTCACTGAAACTTGACATGAATGTAGACACTGGGTTGTCCTAAGAACATGATAAGTTTGTTTGTGCATTTTAGTTGGGATATGCTCAGCTCTGAAGCAAGATGTTGATGTCACAGCTCCCTTTTACCACACAATTTGTGCTAAGTTTTGCATGTTTTGAATGTATAGGCATTCTGCAACAAACTTGGTGCAAGCCCAATGGTGTTAGTATATGGTGTTTTTTCATTCACTTGTGTAATTTTCTCAGGCATCCACACCAGAAGACAGTCATTCCCTGCACATAACATTGTCAACCTGTCAGTGCAACACATGGGGGGATCTGCTGGAGAAATTACTACCCCAGACTCTGCAGACTGCAATGAGTGCTGAGGCTGAGCTGCGTCAGTCCCTTCCAAGGGGTTACATGCAGTACACCGGTATTGCTAACTCAGAGTCGGTAATTGATCACTTGCTCCTTAAAACTGGGACTTGCTCTGTAAAAATTAGGCAGATTTCACAAACTCCCATTCTGAGTTAAAAATGAACCTGATGGGAAAGATCTGGGAAAGGTTAAATTGACTTGGATTTCTTGGACTTTTTCTTCGTCTGTTCAAGAGAAAAAGCTTTGAAAGACGAAATGAAAAGCCGTGCCAAGGTATAGTAAAGATATTCTCCAATCTTGTATTGTTGAAGCTTCAGTTCTTGTTCCGATACAAATATGAAACTGCACTTAAACTGATGAAGTTGACTATATGAAAATAAAAAGGGCAACCTTGGTGTTAAGACATTCAGTGCAGTGTCCACAAGGTGGATGCTGATTAACTTATCAGAATCTCATGTAGTTCTAATTTTGGATGGGAGACTGTTGTTGAAGGCATAGTCAGAAGGATGTCTGTCATACTGTTAAATGAGGCTTATGGCACTAACGTTCAACCTGCCTTTTGTGAAAAATAGTCCTGACCATATTCACCTGGAAATATCCAATGCAACTACACAGTAATTTCCTTCTTTATACAGTAAAGCCCCTTTTGGAGCATTTATTATTTGAAGAGATTATGTCAATATTAATCTCAGGAACTCGGATCCTTTGAGGCAGTTTCCGTTTCTTTGCATTTCTTCATGGCACAGGTTGGCATACTAGTGTTTTCCTCAGTACTTCCTCAGCTTTTGACCTAACATAAGTTTCTCACTGCAGAATGCATCATTAATCTTTCTCGTTGTTTTTCGTCACCAGACTGACCCTCGGAGAATAACTTTCCTCAGTAAGGTCAGTGAGATGATGATCAAGCTCGCCCAATATGCTGTCATTGACGATGCAGCTGACCAGATGGCTAGAGGAGTCATTCATGACAGTTTGCCTCCAAAACTTTCACAAGGTTTGAAAATGAGTTTGCAGGACTTTCAAAACAAGAAATAAATCACTTTATAGCTATTAGAACTTGCAAATCTGCTCAATTTTCTCAGATATCCAGTTTTTGGTGGGCCAGCATTATATTCTGAAAGAGTATTTCTTCATAAAGTTTTATAAAACCATTTAACCGTACACCTGTGGCAAGTGGCCAGATGCAAATTATTACATCATAAGAATTTGTTTGGAGCGCCCAAGATTATGTTCTCCAGGTCTTTAATATTTGCCAAACATCTTTATGAACAGCTTTGACAAAATGACGACAGAAATCCTAATCATCTTCACATAAAAAAATTATGCTGTCAAAATTTGCTGTTGCTCTTTTAAAAGTCATCCTCATTTCATCTGTTTCATTTCTGATTTTCTATCACCGCTGAACTAGACGAGCATGTGTGCAGCATATTTGGGAGTGGACCAGTATGCAAGAATGGGAAGGTATCTAACGAAGTGGAAATACGTGAAGATACGCAGATCCGAATTGTACGTCGAGGAGTTGTCAGGTAAGACTTGTTTCAAAGTCACATTAACACTAACCCCGCAGAGCAGAAAAAAAAATTGCAACAGATGTAGATGAATCCAGCAATGTTTTATCAGACATTTCCTATGGCCCCCTTTAATTTTGATCAGCATTGTATTGGGTTTTGATTTAATTTTGTTCATGCATTTTTGAAATTATATCAAATATATTCAAAAGATACCTCGAAGTAATTGTTGACTGCCCTGATGTTGGCTATGTTATCCTTTACCCAATCAATGACTTACAAAATTACTGTTCAACTGTTTTGGTAATAATGTCAGCATTAATGAGGTATCTATCAGTGTCATTAAAAGGTGTCAATATGTTATCATTAACCCTGCTCATGTGGGCCGTCTGGGCTGACAACATCTGAACATTCCTTAGACGATCTTAGCTCCCTGGGGAGTATACTAGCCCAATGCTGCCATATCAGGTGCAAATGGCTAAATATACATGTAATAACCACGTCTTCCCCTACAGCTACCCAACAAGTTCTCAACATGTAACTACCTGGTGGGATTCCAATCCCTGACCCTAATGATTGGAACCACAGATCCTTACCACAAGGCCCCATACATGTACTCCATGCACTAGGCCAGCCCCTCCCCCCAATCTTATTGAATTACCTTTATACGGTGGTTCAGAATCCCTAGAATGATTTTGCAATATGAGAGAATTTGCCTATGTTAACATGTTACATGAGCAAAATGGAGCACATGGTCTTTAAGGTATTCATTCAACCAGAAATGAATACTTTTATTTTTCTGTTCAAACATGCATGGTATTCTGTTAACGTTTTATCTTTCAACTTGAATGCAGACTTATTGCTGAAGATGACCAAGTCCGAGTGTACCACACATTGGAGAACTCACGAGTGTACCACAGCAAACAACCACAGTTTGTTGAAATACCTGCTGAGGTAAGTTTATCAGGATCATGGCGTTTCCCCTTGAATACAGACTTGCACTTCTGGGAAACAAACAAGTTCACACTGGTCAAGAGAGGACTATACTTTGAGTTGGTAATCGTGTAAATATAATAATAAACTTCCATTTTCAGAAATGCTAGACATTTCCCCCAGTCACCTGAATGATTTAATAATGTATTTATTCACCAATATGAAGGTGAACTGTCAGTCCATTTTGAATTTTTTTTGTTTTCTTTGTTTTTGTTTTGTTTTTTGTTCTCTTTTAATCTTTCTCTATTTTTTAATTTTAATTTTTTTCATCCTAAGCACTTGTTCAAAAGATTCCAAGACAAGAAAGGCCTTTTCCATCCCTCTTTTTGAAATACCTGAATATGCCAACTAGGCCCTCACAGCCAAGTTTGGACAGGCTAAAGCAAAAGGTCATGTAAGCCAAACCGTCAAACTAGCTCTGTAATCATTTGCATTTGTCCAGCTGTAATGGCTGAAATTTTTCTCCGTTTTCAGGCAGCCTCAGCTGTTGAGTACCTGCTGCACACCTATCCTGCCTTCACAGATGTCAGCAGTCTTCCATTAGTTGATGAGTGGCAAGATAAGGTAGGTCTTGCCCATTTTCTCATTATGTAGAAACTGGGTAAGTATTTGTATGTGAATTACGAGAGTAGGTTCTACAAAACTGATAATACAAATTAAGGGCCAGGCTCAGGCCTTTTTAACATTATTTATACATTAAAATATGTTTGTGTATACTGTGGAACGCCGCTGTAACGAACACCGCTTTTCCGAACATTCAGGAATACCGAACATCCTCCTTGGCTCCTTTACTTTCAATACCCCTTTGCCAAACATTGAAAACTTTTTAAAAAGAAGCATATTCAGAACTGATGATAATAACTCAAAGTTGAGGAAAATTGCACTCACAGTGGAACAACAGCCAACACATAGAGTGGCCTGTACATTCGTGGGTAGCCAACATTGCATGTACATCACATGCAGGCGGCCATGTAGACTGACTGCGAGTATCGTTCATTGGTAGCCTACACTGCATGTACATGACATGCAGGCAGCCACGTAGACCGGCTGCCGAGCATGTGTATGCAATACTGGCGAATGTGGTACAGAAACCCTTGCATGATTATTACTACAAAGCCGGGAGATTTCAGCTCAAAATCAACACCAAAACAGGAAATAAATGCGCAGATGGACACTAGCATTTGTTACTTGACTCAAAGAAATCTTTGATAAATGTCTTGCTTGTTTCGATCATATTCAAAATGCTTGCCTAACATTTAATTGCTGACTTCGGTCACTTGATGGTGTGTTACAATGGTTCCCAGTGTGGCCCATTTATTTAACTGCCATTTTACCAACAGGAAGCAGTGTAACCCTTCCAACATTTCACATGCAATGACTCAAGGAAAACTTGATTTCAGTTCGAAATGGGTGCGTGCATCCAGGACTGAAAATCGCTATACCGAATGACCCCTATACTGAACTTTTTGTGTGGACCTCTCCACATTCGTTATAGCGGTGTTCCACTGTATTGGATTTTACCCATCTTCAATGTTCCATGCATTTTACAAAGCACTGTGTGCCAAGTAGCTGATTTCACAAACTTTACACACAGAAGTAACTTGATTTACACCACATTTTATTGCAAAAGTTGCACTCCAAATTATCCCACATTTCACAAAAGTTACACAGTGTGTGTAGGTCCACGACTTGGGTAGCAAGTTACTGTATGGCATAAGTTATGCAATCATTTTAGGTGGCATAAGTTGAGCCAAACAAATTGAAGATGGATGATATTACCCCAAATCATATTTGCTGTAAGATGCGTTCTTGCTCAACTTATCAAGGTTTAAATGAAAAGAGAAATGGAAGGCTGTTTTTTTCGGGGGGGGGGGGTTATGAAATACTTGTTTGGCTGTGAGAAAACACAAAATCTGTGTTCAAATTGGTGTTCCAAGCTTGTTCATTGACCATTGAATAACTACTGTAAGTTTGCAGAGGATCAGCCATTGTAACAGCCGTGATTGTCCTCATCAACGATGTTTAAATTAATCAAAACAGTGTGAAGCGAAGCAAGCTTTCATGAATTTGACCGTATTAAAGTACATGGCACAGATACGCCACAAATTTGTGACGTGACCCAAAGCATGGTGCAAAGTTATGCCAAATTTCATGAAATCTGCTGCTGCAATACTTTCGCAGTGTCCCAGCTGTAACTGTTGCTATCTTACATTCACACCAGCCAGCTGACAGTAACACCTCTATACTAATAAGGTCAATATTGTGAGCTTCAAATCCTGTCTGAGACTGATTGTGCATGTAGTGCTTTATAGCATGGTTGAAGGGCAAAACTCTAGCACTGAAACATTTACCCATTTCTGTGGCATTGGTCATCCCCTAAATGGCATATATGTGACCTGCTCTGCAAAAAAGGGCATCAAGGGACACTGTGCGATTTCATACTAAGGGCTTTTTATGTGGACATTGTGGTTTTTTTACTTCTTGGTTTATTGGCTTTTATTATACCAGTACTTCCACAAGTCATACAAGAAACCTAACTGTTGCTATGGCTGATTTCTTTTTCCATTTCCTGTGTTTAAAGGGCTTTATATCTGAAAGCAATTCTGTTGATGTGTATGAAATGATTATGCAAAAATCAGTATATCTCCAGATTGCAAAATGACACAGGGTTGAAACCTACACAAAATTAAAGCATATAATGTAACCAATTTAATGTGTGTGTGACTCATTTTGAAAAAAAATGCCCTATAATAGTCATTTTTGTAGAGCCGGTCACATATAACACTGGACACGGCCACAGTAACACACTGTGTAAATATAGGGCTTGAGTTGGATTAGTTTGACATGAGATTCATGAATGGTCTTTTGAAATGTTTTCTGCTATTCCAATGTTACAAGCATAGCTCACAGAATACCATAAAATAGTGTTGTGTTTTATTGGCATTTTTTTTCATGCTGGAACGTGCCCAGCACAATTTTGTTTTGAGATGCAGTATGTTACATTTACATAACCAAATCAAAAGGACAAACGACACATTTCATAACAATAAACACGAAGCAGTTCAATATAATGTTTCTGGAAGGCAACGGAAAATTCACCAATAACAGCAACATAAAAGAGAACAGATTTCCACAAATGAAGTGAGGCTTTTAACATAAGACTTAAATCTCAATATCTCATGTTGTTGGTTTCAGCAAGTGGAACTGGCCCAGGTTCTGTATGAAAGAGGAATAGTAGTCAGCAAGAAGCCACTACAGCCTGCATGAATACGCACACAGACAGCAAGTTCTAGCTATAAATCTTAACTCATTTTACATGGTGTCAAGGAAAATCGAAGTCACAATTCTCTTTTAAAGAATTTAACTGTCATCACCTGTGGAATTTTCTCTCTTTACAATTGAATGGATTTCATAAGCATACTTTTAACAGTTCAGTGTGATAAAAGAGAATTACTCAGTTACTAAGAAAATTTTTCCACAAGTGTCTACTTCATTTAAAAGTGCATAAGGTCTCCTTTCATGTGGTATAATTGATACAATGATGCATGACTGATCTGTTTAAATTAGAAGTGTGTGACACCACTAACCGCTTTTAGCTTGCTTTTAGTTATGCTTGACCCTAGTAGTTATGCTTGGCCCTATCATCCTCTTGCTGGTGTCAAATATAAAAACGATAACATTAGCATTTCAATTATTGACAATGTTTATTAGTCACATGCTGTGTTATTCAGTTTCAGCCAAAGAATGAAATGAACATTGACCTTGCCAAAAGCAAAATTTTCACTCGTTCATTTTGTCATTCATTCTTCCTTCATTTGTTGCATTTTTGGTGCTTTTGTTAAGTCAGCATGTAAATTATGAGGAAACATTGTGGGCTTTGTAGTTTTAATTTTCACCTTTTTAAAAGGTTTTGGCAAAAGACAACATGTCAGTTGTGTGAGATAAATTGTTTTTGCTCTTTTCTTTATTTTCTGGATGACACAAATCCAGAAGGACAAAAGGGGGGAAAATTATGCGCTTGACGAGGAAACTGAGAAAGTTGTTGTATTTGATGAGAAAATGAGAGGAGATTCCAAGACACAAATTACACAAAGATACAATTATACATATGCCCATTCCTCTGAATGGCTAAAAAAGCAATGCATTCTTTTGATGAAATTTTAAAATCTTCAGCAATTATGATGTCTCATGTTTCCCGAAAACTAAGTATGGTTGCTGTGACAACACTTAAAATGTAACCTTAAAAGAGCTTGGGGAGGACAGAATCTGCCCCCTAAACATTGTTTCTGATTTTGCAGCAGTGTTTTTTTTTCACAAGCTGAGCTTTGAAGAGTTTGTTCAGTTATTTTGACGCCACAGCTGTGAAAATCGAACTTGCTGTTCTTACACACACAGACCATATTTTCAAGAAGGGTCAGCCAAAAATGTATACTTTCCACTGTCATGCTGGATGCAAGTGGGCTGGCATGCCAGTGCCTTCAACTTCAAATGACTGTAACAAACGTATGTCCCATTGAGTTGAAATTTTACATCTGTACTGATAAGGAGTGTCTTTACATGCATACCAAGTGTAAAATAAAGCAGGCTTGGAACATCAGAGTTCTGATGGGGAAGGGGATTCCCCTACCCCCAGCTCTGTTAGATTTAAGGCAGGCACTTTACAGTTTCAGTTCTTTCTGTATTCTTTGGTATGTCCTGTCAACATTTGACCTGTAGTATCTTGCTACTGCATATTACTTCTCGTAAGGAAAAAGCAGCTTCACTTCTCAGCACAGGACAAATTTTAATGGTTTTAATGGTTCACAAAGTGAAAAATTGCTATCAGAAAATAAGAATCAGATGTATGCGTAATAAACTTCAATCAACAAAAAATAATGGAAAAGACAAAATTTATTCCTTGGTTTGCTTGTACTTCTCGGCTTCTTTCTCTGATCTCCTTCTGGCCAAGACAAACTCTAAGTAGGTCAGGTAACCGTCATTGTTGAAATCATCTTCTGCTAGCACTTGGTCAATCATTTCTGTCAAACAGAAATCAGAAAAATTTGGCAAACTCACTATTGATCCTTGTCACTGGCATGATTGTTTACATGCGATTGTAGCTTGCCACTTTGAATGATGCTGAATTTGACCATAGCCACTCAAACCCTGTTTCCAGTAAAGGTCGGAATTTACATTTCATTTGAAAAATGTTTAGAAAACTTTCCCATAACGTTTAACCATTTCAACACTTTACAGAGACTGCCGCCGCCTTTCACGGTGTTTTCCTTATGCAGAATTATATATTTCATCCAATGTAAATAGTTGACACAAAGTTCCGGCAATGAATTCATGGTATTCCTTTGATATGCAGATTACATTTTACAAGAATTGTTTACAACAAAAATGAACGCCAGATGTGTCGGTCGAAATGTCAAAGTTCTAAAAGGGGCGGTTTGATTTGAATTATTTGGGAAAATCTGTAAATGAATTTGGAACTTTTTTGTTTAAACATGTGAACATCCCACCCTTAGTTTCGAAGGATGAAATGAGGTAGCAATAATCTAGATGACCACTGAGATTTGAGGAGAAAGTTGCCAAATCCTGGTGCAAAGATATTTGACAGGTCATCTGGAAGCATTAAACTCCAAAATTCAAAAGAGTGAACAGTGTACCCCTGTTTGACCCTAGTTATGCACACAGTTATTAAACTTAAGTCCATTACCCATGTGTTCTAGAAGTCTGATCTCTCTTGCTTGTTCAGGAGTCATATTTAGACTGGGCTTATCATCACCCATCACGTGATTGATTGCAGCAAGGATCTCCAGCCCGTCTAATTTTGTGTTGTTGTCGAAATCATGTAATCTTAATCGGGGAAGTAAAAGAGAGACTAAAGATCACATTTCATGTACAATTGTATTTGTCATGTGGGTCAATGGAGTTCTGGTTATTTTAATTTTAATAAGTTTCATTTTGTTATTTTTGTTATATTTCATTGCAAGAATTTTTTCGTTAATCATCGTACTTAAAATAATGGAATTCCAGTTCCTCATCAGTCATATCCTCCTCTCTTTTTTGCCCTCCTGTCAGCTCTTCAAGGTGCTCTTGGACATGCCTGTTGGATAATTGAAGATGATGAAAAAAATGGCGAAATTAGCAAGAAGTAGACCTAAAAATACAAAGCAAATCTAGATATAGATATAAATACACGGACGGATGTTGTGCTTTTATTTGTTTGTTGGTGTGTAGGTTTTTGTTTTATGTGTTTTGTTTTGTATTCTGTTTGAGGATTGGGGTTTGTTTGTTATTTTGTTTTTTATGCCGCACGCAGGTGTGTTATTTTTCGGGATTTTCATGACCTTAACATTTTTTACACCATTTTTAGAGGGTTATAGGCCTAATCATTCAGATGTGTTACTTTTATTTCTTTGTAACAAAAGCCAAATGCAATATTTACCTTAAGCCATATGTGGGAAAACATCATCTTTTAGTTACTGGAAGCCCAAAATGTTACAATATTTTATTGTTACGGAATTCAAGGTCAAATTTAAACACACAAAAGCCAAACCGTTTCTCCATTTTTTCTTTGTCTTTGCATCTGGCTTTGCCAAATCATTCACTCCGAAGTTCCATTTTGCTACAGAAACATATTAAGAGTGATTTCTTTTGCTTTTTTTTCCTTACAGTTGCACCAAACTCGAAAGTAATGATTGAGAATAGTAGTGGGCAGTGTTGTGAAATACGTAGCGGGAGGGGGATACAACCAAACTCCTAAAATTACTCCACCGTGGAAAAGTTCGGAAAGTTGGGTGCTGGACTCATGCATCACACTGGGATATCGGACGCGTACTTTAATAACTTACATGCCAGTCGGGTAAAGCGCTTCATTTGAGTAAAATGGTCATTCCAAATCCACACAGCCAACCGCAAATCAGCCCCTTTCCCTGCACGGTCAACAAAAAGTTTTTATTTCGAAACACCCTGCCTTCATCACCGTTCCACCTGGCCATTTTGGCGGCAGTTCTATGTAAATTGTCAGAGCGCTCGCTGGATGCATAGCTACAAGTTCATTACAAACTGTAGCATTGTCTTTGAGGGGAAAGTAAAATGGGTGTTAATCATAATGATTGTTAGCCCTGAAAGAGCCGGATTCCACCCAAGACAAGACGTTGAGCCTTCATGCATTGTTGTAGTAGATTCTTAAGGCCATTTGAAAACTTGCAAGTTTGTGAAAATCGGACTTTCATTGCCGTGCCCGTTTTTTTATTTAACAGATCATGCAGTCAAAAACATAGTTTTCCACTGACATGATCAATGCACGCGGGTTGGCACGCATGCAGCCTTGAACTTCTGGACTTTACTCTTGTACTGGGAATTAATTTTTACAATAGGGGCAGAATCCATCGCGTCTCTTTTCATAGGATAAGCCATTGAATAATTAATATTCGTCGGTAAATCTTTCAATTCCCTAAGATTATTACTGTTTTTTGATGAAGCAAATTTCAACATTTTTTTCTATCAACATATTTCAAAACTGTTCCTTGAGATCTAAACCTCATTCTCTTCTCCATTAGTAAGGAGACAGGGTACTTACTCTTTATTTCGGACCATTTCTGGATCGTGGAATTTGGATTTCTTTTCTTGAGCTTGCGAGGAGGTAGTTATAGCGGACGTTAGGAGCAACGTGAAAGCCACAAGAAGAACGAAGTCACGGCCACAGAACATGTACTGAATGCCAATGGGCCTCATGCTGTACAGAAATATAACAGAGTATTTACCATAGGTCCTGAATGCGGGTCAGAGGACGAAGAGAAAACGCACCAAAGCCCAACTGACCACCCCCCCCCCTTCTTGAAAGCAAACGAAAGAGAAAATACAAAGAAAAATTAACCGAAAACTTACCTTGCATTCGGAAAAGATTTAGATTAGGCCTATGTTTAGGTGCCACAAACCTCTCGAACGAAAAGGGATACAGGAAATTGAAAATGTTTTCACAAGTCATGTACATCGCTCATAGCAGAATTTGTGGGAAAACCCCGTTTCTGTTACCCAGTCTGCACATAAATTTGAACTGAAATGCAGGATATGTCCCCGTCTGATAGCGATAGGGTAGGAGTAGGATAGGAAACTTGTGAATTGTAATTAGCTTTACTTTCAGTCGGTGCTGTGACTGGTCACAGTACTCTGTAACTCGACAATAACTCCACGATGACCCAGACTTCGCACACTTTAGTGATTTTGTACCGCAAGTTCCAGCAGTTTTTGAGACTTGGAGCCTTCGACTCGAGGAAGGACTCGAGTCGAATCATATTTAATTGCAGTGAATGAGTCATTTTGAGTTATTTCCCGTGGGATTCGAGCCGAGTCTCTGCAGTGTGTCGAGTAATATTAGTGAATTCATATTGAGACCTCACACTTCACACACTCTAAATCATGCGATCATGAAACTTGTCCAAATTTGTGTATGTTTTATTAAAAAAACTTAGCATATGGTGCATGGTTAGTGATGAAATATCGGTGAATCAGCGATTCTCTACATCACGGAGTATGATCAGCTACGAACACTACTCAACAGCACAATGGGAGAAGGCAGCTTGCAAGCGTGGAGGTTTGTTTGCAGTTAATAAATTATAGCTACAGTGGTATCAGATGTCACATACAATGTGATTATCAAGTGGTGTAACATGACGGTAACAATTTAAAAGCCTGTATAATAGCCGAACAAAGAAATGCATAAAATCAACAAAACGTAACTACGTTTCCAAGAGTATTTCAATAATTACCATTTAGGGTCAGAACGAAATCATGAAAGTTGTATTATACGACCAAATCATTAATACTTACAAAATTTGAAAAAATGGAGATGAATACCTGGAGATTAATATGCACGAGAAGAACACGCATAGTAATGAATAAAATACCCAAGTATACAGAAAAAGGAATTATGAGCGACATTAGCTAGAGGAATGTAATTTTTACAAATATATATTGCGAAAAACACGTGCATCGAACGACAAAATGTCTGGCAACATTAAACACTCATAACGTTGAATAAATTATGACCGAAATAAATCGATTGAACAAAGAATTAATGTAGGCCTACATCCACTCAATTGTTTATCAACTGATGACATACCTCTATAAATACATTTACTAGGTTTAAATTCAGTGTCATAATTATTTAAGATTGCACTCACCTAATCGCTTGATGCCGGACTGTATTCGTGAGAAAATAACAAAGATGTGTTCACAAACGATGAAGATGCGTAATGGAGGCACTTGCAGGAGGAGGGTAGCATATGGCAACCACTGTGTCAGTAACAGCAGTGCGCTGTCCCTCCACTGTGTGCAATCTCCTTGCATCCATCAATGACTTCATAATATATGTACATGTAATTGTACCGGTTCATTAGGCCTGCGCACGTGCACTGAGCACGGCGAGCATTATCAAGAAGCCCGTCGCCGATCGTGTCCGTCTGCTCCAGTTTCATTTTCACTTCAACAAATAATGAAAAAGTTGTTTAACCTAAACAATGGCTGCCACGGGAACTTTGTGTCCAAGTCCGGATCTAGCTAACTTATTAGGACACTAGCACATTATAGCACACATTTTCGACTGCCAAAAATGATAAATATGTGAAGCCATTTTTTGTTACTGAGGTGGTGGCTGAATTGCTATGAAAATGCTGTTGTAGAGGCTGGTGTACATATTTGAACTCGTGTGAATAAACTAAGGTTGATACATTTGAGTTACCTTGATCTTTGACCGACTCGCGCGGGCAGAAAAAGACCTACCGAGGAGAACATCTGTCATTAAGCTGGGATCCCAAGTTAACGTGGTGAATTGAAATTGTTGAAATTGTTGATTTGTTGAATTCGTCTGTCTTACCCATTCATAGTCTCTTTTGGGTAAGATTTGCAATTTGGTCGCTTACTTCGGTTAGTTTTTTAGTACGATGTTGATGTACTAATTTCCAAAGCGAAAAAAAATTCACAACAATTCATGTTAGTTTTAGAGTTTACTATGCAGCAGTGTGGTTGAAGGGGGGCCGTGGGGGGGCGCACACCCCCCTTGAAAACTCGTCGCCCCCCCCACTTGCATTTTGGAAACGGTACACATACATATCCTCATGTGATCACGATTATGTACATGTATATGTCCAACATCCAGTCAGCCACCCCCACACACACACCCTTAAATATATATACTTGTGGGTTATTTCCTTTGTTCTCGTGTACAAAACTCCCACACAACACGGAAAAAAATTCAAATCACTACCATTTCAACCAAATTCAGTTTCCCGTCCTGGGTTGAAAATTCGACCGTATGTCCCTTATATAAAACACTTCAATTTGCAACAAATCAATGGCACTTGAAAATTCCTCCTTTTCGAGTAAATTTGAAATATCTATTTCGTAAAATTCTTGTGGGGTACCACCGTACCCACAAGGATCAAAACTGGCCTTGTGGGTGTACCTTCCATTGTCCCAGTACCCCACAAGGCACCATGTACAAGCGCACACTTTAGCGTGCAGCCCTAGGCTCGCCCCCCGTGCTCAGAATTCTGGCTAAGCAGCTGGTATTATTGCTAACGTAAACCTACATTACAGGGCCCCGTGACACGAATGTTACAAATTTTATGTCATTTCTTGCTTCTTTTTGAAACATATTGCCATTCCCTTTAAGTACATTGAGCGCCCTCAAAACGTTAAAGTTGTCCATGCTTATACTGACAAATTATGGCGCTTTTGATGTTGTAGGGGTGGGGTCTGTTCAAATTATGAACCCGACATTTTTTCAATGGAAATATTTGTGAACAACTCCGCTCACTAGCCAACTGTCACGTCCTGAAACAACAAAGAATTATCGACAAACAAAAACTCAATCAATCGCAGCATCTGGAAGAAGAAATGAATACAGGCCTACGTTAAAGTGAAAAGGAGTCCTTAGCTGAGTGGGACCGCTTTAAGGTGCATCACAGAAAGGGATAGAAAAGTTAAGAAAGTAATATCAACACAATGTTCAAGTGTTACCAAAGTGAGTTGACCTGCCAATGCACTGAACAAAAAGTTTTGTTCAGTGTTCACTGAGAACCCACAAATTTTTCCTGACATGAGGAGTTCTGGTTGCATTCGTGATATGTCAGAGATAATGACACAAGGAGTGGAGAAGCTGCTGGAAGGTTTAAATCCCAAAGCTCTGGGTCCAGATGCCATCCCAGCAAAGGTTCTACATGAATATGCTTCTTCTTTGGCACCAGTGCGTATAAAATTTCCCCGAAGTCCCTTGACTCAAGAGTTTACCAACCACTTGGCTTGATGCAAACAAAACATAACTGTTTAAGAAAGGGAAAAGAAGCAATCCAGCAAAATATAGACCAACTTACATCAATTTCTTGCAAACTACAAGAACACACTCCATCACCACATCGTTAGCCACTTTGGCAAACATCAAATCTTGCCAAATGTTTAACATGGCTTCAGAAAAAGTCACAGTCTTGTGAAATGAAGTTATCTTACTCCTTGTCAATGACCTTGCGAAATGTTTAAGTTGGATGACAGAGTTCAGTTGGATTTCATATTGAATTATTTTAGCAAGGCCTCATCGTGCCACATCAGCGTCTTCTCCGGAAGCTTTACTACATGAAAGTTAGAGGAAATAATGTGAAGTTGATAGATTATTTTCATACAAATTTAATTAAGCATCATCAGCAAGTTTCCTTGAGGGCGGCTTCTGAGTGGTCTAAAGTTACTTCAGGAATTACACAGGGGACGGTCCTATAGGACCATTATTGTTTCTTGCAAAGGCCTACTTCCTCCATAAAGACTTGCCGTCAAAGGTCCATTCTAAATTTTCTGATGGAAAGCTTTCTGCGGACGACTTGTATTTTGAATCACAAAAGTGGGAATCATAATTCTCCAAGCTGATCTCAATGCTCTGGGAGACAGACTGGTAACGTGCCCAGAGCTCTTAAGAGAGGGCTTATTTTTCTAGCAAGTTTCTGGTTCACCAACGACTATGAAAAGCATGACTTACGGTTGCGTCACTACCAGCAAAACGAACGCTCCTAACCAATATGGCTCTTTTCAACCGATGAGGGGGTACTTCTGCTCAAGGCGGATTTTCTTGAAGTGTTTTGCCATTAGAGTCACACACAAGAGAAACTTCATCATCACAAATATAAAATGGGAGATTCCATTCTGGAGGAGGCGAGGCATCGTCCCTACTTTGGTTTCGAGCCTAGCAGTGACTTGAGCTGGTCAACACTGATGTTGGGTCTGTTGCAGAGGAATATCTTCTACTGCAACCTTGGACCAATCTAATAAGTTTGCATCATCACTTTCACCTTAATTAAGAGATCGTTAAAAGACGTTTGGCAAGCCTATAATTTTAATTATTTTATTTGGTTTTTAATTATGTTTTTAAAATTTCATTTGAGTTTCCTAATGAATCTAATGCATTTCATTTGTTGTTTTTTTAAAATTATTTATATTTATTTTTGTTTCACAGATTACCCCATTTTAACTTTTTTAGTTCATTTTTATTTCCGTAATGTAATCTATTCTTGACATAATTTAATCTAATTTTTTTTAACTAAATCTAATTTAAGTTAAATTAAATTAAATTTTTATACTATTTTCATCGTTTCATTTTTACAGTGACTTTCATTTCCACCTTTTATTTTAATTTTCCTTAGCTAGTTTAACTACATCATTTTTATTTCCTGTTATCTGTTTTACCAATATAATTATACGATGTTTGCAGGGCCCCATGGAAGACCACTTTCGGGTGAATGGGGCCCTGGGTAACGAACAGAAACAATATTGATAATATTAACAACAATACTGCAAAAGTGTGTTGTAGCACATTTATTGCAAGTCGCTGATCAGACCGAAACTCGAGTTTTGCTTATCCATCTGGGATCCGATCATAAATCTGATTAAGCCCAGCAGGATAGAGTTCAAAATACAGCTGCAAGATTCACAGTAGGCAATCGAACTGAACAGGGAATTTAAATATCACAAAAATTCTCACTGACCTACAATGGGATGTATACTGACTAGACTGCTGAAGGGCTACATCTTGGGTTATGACAATCTACAAGGAATTTCCTATGACCATCAATCCAAACCCGACTAAATTTAAATCATAGAACCAGACAAAAATGAGGTCTCCAAATATGCGCATATATTTGCTGCCAAAATTCTTCTGCATCCCAAAACAATACCCAAATGGAATCTGCTCAACGAGGACACAAGAAATGTCCCTAAACCCTCACCTTTAAAGCTAAGCTGGACGCAAGCAATGTAAATGAAGTATTGGCTAAAGTACCTATTCTGAATTTGTTTCACTTGGTGTTTCGCGCCCATCGGGGCCCCAGTTTCTCACGCAATGTTGATTGTTAAATTTCAGATACAGAAATTTAAGACGGCAAAGTATCCCAAAGTATTTCAGCATTTTTTTCCTGCCCCTCCCCCTTCGTTAGGCGGTGATTGGAAAAAGTGAGCAAACTAATAATAACAATGATAATAGTAATATAGGTTATTAAGAGTAAGCTTTCCATGCAACAGACATCATAAAGCGCTGTACAATGAAAAATCCATAGGTCTTTCCTTAGGCGTCTTGCATGGTTTAAGGACTACAAATAAAAACAGCCATGAAACGAAATAACAAAGCCAAGTAAAATCAGAAAGTTGCATCAGAGTTAGAAATGTCATCTGCCGCCTAGACCACGCAGAAACTCTAGTCTTTCCTGTAGTTTTGCATGACAGTGACAACATGTGGAAATGAAAGAAAATTAAACTTGGTTTCATTCAATTTCAAATAATCCACTACACTGTACACAGTACCAGGAAGCCTTAACAGTAAAATTGTGTTGCACATCCAAAAATAGAGATGACGTAATGCTATTAGACGATGCCACGTGGTCATTTTATCCAATCGAATCTTCGAAGTGAATAACATCGCCCAATGGCTGATGGGAAATGATGCAGTTGTACATGTTCGCGTTGGTGAGTGTTTCCCTCTGCTGCGGTAAATATTGTTCATTTTTGTAGTACATTTGATGGAGTTATTTATTATCGTCTTTGCTACTTATCGTTACTAGAAATATTGTTTTTAGAACTATGTAATTCCGTAGTTGAAGATTTCAGGTTAGTCGAGAGCTTGAAATAGGCCTTGCCTTGTCATTTGCAATTTTACATTGCTCGAAAGACGTCAGCTGAGCATGGTTGATGGTTAGGAATAGGCCCTTTAGTCCGAGTAAATTGGACTACAATTTTTTACAAATCGCCTCTTTTAACAATTGGTTTTGGACGTTGTCGGGCGATGGAGTCCAAGTACCTTCCATATGTTTTCCATCCCGTCAGCTCATTTCATTCAAAATAGCTTGTACCCTGAATCAAAATCCTCCAAATTCACCTCCAAACTGTCCAAACGATCCATGTTAAACATGTTCAGGATGTTAAACAGGCCTAAAACATCTTAAACTGTCTAATGTTCCTGGCGTAGGATAAAGTGAGGAATCAGAGATTCTAATAATGATCAGGCACTGTCAGATGATGGTAAGGTGTAGGCTTCTCACATTTGGGAAGTAAAGAGAAATTTCACCTTCAAGTGCTCTTGTTGTCGAGCTCGAAGTTGCAATCTTGAGACATGCTGTCCACTGTACGGGACAGCCAGAATTTTGGCGATTGTACAGTAGCCAGCAGAAGTAGCAGAAGCACTGCACTGGTCAAGCCAGTCTTATGCATGCTGCGTCACGGGGTCTGTAACTTGTCAAAGCATGCCATGCCCAGTGAGTTGAGTGGCAGTGTATTGCGGCACACAAATTTCCCCAAACACATGATCTAAAGACTCTGCTGAATGCCAGAAAGTCCATCATGTACAAGCCTTGAACTGTTACAGTGTTAGGCCTTAAGTTGTCTTAATGGACGACTTGGTAGATGGTCGAGTTATACCATCGGTCAAGGTGTCTCATTAATTGAATTGCTACATGTCGTGTTGGCAAATTAAGTTGTCCAACATCCACAGAAACACTGTCGTTTGCAAAATGAGTTGGATCGGCTGTAGTAAAACTTACAGTATTCCTCTTTTTTGATTTTGGACGGGATTGTCATACTAACGCTGCACACCTGTACATGATATAGTAAGGTGACAACGGTTCTAAAAAATTTCAAAGACTCAACAAAAATACCTACCACCTACTGGTTCCCGTAAATGCCAACGTCAAACGGTTGGGGTGTCAATGATATATCTGACTTCAAAATCTGTCAAAATCCGACCATTTTCACTTGACACACGGACAGCACTTAAACTATGGGCGAACATGGTTCGCAAAACCACACAGAACTAACAGAACCGCAGAAGAGGCCCATATGTAGTCTGGGCACAAGCTAATTGACCAGGAAACAGTTGTTGGTAGCACTCCCAAACATCACGATCAACAAGTCTTGTGCCCAGACCATGTATAGGCCAGTCATGCATGCGTCTTGGAGGACTATGTTCATCCATAGACTTATTGCGCGAGAAACTACAGTTTGTATTTAGTCTATAAAGTAAAACTGTACACTTTACTGACTTTTCTAAATACTGGAAAAGCTTTTAAATAGCACGTAGCTACAAAATGAAAAATGCTGAGGAAACATTTCAAAAAATCTAACATTTTAAATTTTTTGGAACGGGGGGGGGATATTGTGTTTTCATTGCATGACTGTCCTTGCTGCGTGACTTGTAAGCTGATACCCGCTGTATGCACAACATGTGCTGCGCTGTGTAGCTGTGACAAATTGCAAGATTTTACAAGTCACATAAGTTTTACACTTCGTGTGCATCACACGGTGCACATGTGGTGGCAACCCTGGACCAATGGCAGAACAACCCCCACATGGCAGTTTGACCATTTTAGCAGGTGAGGGTGGAATCTTGTTTCAACTGTCACAGCTACACAGCCATCACAGCACAGGTTGGGCATCCTGCAGCATGAGCCCAATCACACAGCTGGGACAGTCGTGTGATTAAAATATGTTGCTAGTGGCTAGGAATGTTGCACCTACATGTACTCTTTTCTGTTGGTCCTGCTTGAGTCTCATAGCCATATGCTGTTTTATTTGAAAGTGGTCGCTATGAACCCCAGTAGTCATCATACGATGCCACTACTTACTCAACATGCCCAGGTAGTTTGTACACCAAAATTGCTGTTTCTTGCTTTACATCACTCAAAATATTAAGTCCCAGATGCATTAAAACATGTACGCAAATAGTTTCTGTTCCAATGCTCCTAAAATTGCTGTTTCTTGCTTTACATCACTCAAAATATTAAGTCCCAGATGCATTAAAACATGTACATGCAAATAGTTTCTGTTACAATGCTCCTAAGTTTTGACAACAGGATTTTGGTAATCTGCATCGATACATCAGTGTGAATCAAGTGCCTACACCTGTACACTGACTGGCAATTTCTGCATGAGCCCAGCGATAGAGAACACTGCTATTATTCTCTCATGGTGGCCTGTGTAGTTCACTTGAAATCCAAATTTGAGTCATTCACTTGACTAATGAATTGTTGAGTCATTCCATCTGAATGTTCAAGTCTTTCACTTGATTTCTAACTTTCTGAGTCTTTCAATCAACTTCTGCATTTTCAAGTCATTCACTGAACTTCTGATTTTGTGATTTTCTAAATTTTTCAGTTATTCACTCGACATCTAAATTTTCAAGGCCTGAATTGAACTCTAAATTATCAAGGCCTTCATTCAAGGTCTGCATTTTTGAGATTTGATACTCAAAACTCAAAAACATGACGTTTGAAACAAAAATAAATAATGATATAAAATGAATCCCAGTATTCCTACATGCATGTTTCCTTCAGCAGTTTGGCTAAGAACAAGCAAATTGGGTACAGGACTTGACTTCCGTGTGGATGAAAAAATACATTGTACATGCACACTGTACTTGCACCCATGTACACCACAGGCAGGCCACTTACTCGGGCTTGTGTACAAGTCTGAACATGGCATCAGGAGAGATCAACAATTTTTGTCCATGGTCAGATTGTTAGGGTAGAATAACCTACGTGTAGTTCAGTTCAGTTCACTTTATTTTCCACATAATATTACTCTTCGGAAACAGTTTCACAAAGTGTACATGTATATATGTGGATGGGGGCCCCAAGAAGCAGTGCTTGTTGAGTGGGGGTCCCCAGTTGCAAATAAACAAAGACAACAACACACTAACACTTTACAAATAACACGACCAATATTAAATACAGCGCATGTACATGACCATGTAGCCTTTGCCTGCTGCAACCCCATGAGAAAGAAATTGATGATTACTTAAATAGTTAATTAGTAATTTACTTTTATAAATTTGTGTTTGGATGCTGAGAGACTAGATGCACATTGCAAGGAAAAATCCTTGGAACTCCATAACTTGAGACCTACATGTTTCACAGTAGATGATTGAGTTGATACATGATACCTGAGTTGATACCTACAGTAAACAAGCTTTATGCTGATTATTGACAATAACAAAGATTACTTGTAGGTCAACCTTTATTTTCGAGAAGAAATCCGTTATTTTCATTTCATTCTGGATGATATTGTGAGCAAGCAGCGCAAGCCCCGAAACAATGATATGTCAACCTCATCCCCATGGACTACCTTGTACATGTACGAGAGTGGGTGCAATATTGCGGCTAACAATCGTATGGAATGAGGTTGATTACATGTATGATTGATCACTGGTGAACAAGTATGGCTCCCTGTATTCATTTGGTACAAGTTGATAGACGCGGTGCTGTACATGTACATGCAGTTCATTATTTATAAGTATGGGAACCCACCTGTCGGCATTAATGATACGTTTGACCGTCCGAATCGTAATCCCAGCATACATGATGTACTTTACTGCAGGGTATTTTTTATTTTGGAATGGTTGATGGGGGAAAAGCATGGGGAAAAGACTGAATTCAATTTCAATTTCATTTATTTAATATCATTTGTATCCAATATAGTTAATGAAATACATTGAAATTCGTTGTGGTTTTGCGAGCGTTAAAAACATGATAATCAAAATATGTGTACAGAACAATAATAAACGACACTACAAAAATTCACACCAGAATTACAACAAATAATTTCAGACAGCATATCAAGTAAAATAACGATTGATTTAATAAAATGGGATTAAGATGACAATAAAATCTGATGAATCACTGATTAGGACTTTGATTGCACCTGTACATGTACGTTCAATAAGCGAACTGCACTTGGATAAAAACTGTTCAAGGTTCGAGTCGAATCTGCGCGAATTGATCTGTAACGTTTATCTGATCTCATCTGCTGAAATAAGTCGTTCACTGGATGGAATCCATCTGAAATGATTGACATGCACTTTAAGACCCTTGCCTCATAAAGTTCTTCCATTGCATGTAGTTTATAGCCAATTATAGTGCTAGCAGTTTTAGCTCAGATTTTATGTTCAAATTTTTAGCTCAGATTTTATATTCAAATTTTTTCGGGATCTGCGTCGAATTAAGTAGTGTACAGCTTGATTTGCACCGCCAGGCCATGCTTGAAAAAATGGGCTGTGATCTCACAAAACTGGCCATGCAAAACACGGCTGCACGGCTCACTAGCTAAAATGTTGCAATATGCTCTTTTCTGTTGTCAGGAGATGTGCATGTACACATACTCCCAAAAGAGATATCCTTGCATGGTGCGACCGAAAACCTTTTTACTTAACTTGCCACCTTCACCATGAGAAGCTGCCAAGCTCATTTGCAGATGTGATTACTTAGCCTGTGGCATGAATGTGTACCTCTGAAGTGCTGAGGGTTAATGCACTTGCAATGGCAGGAAATGATGTAATGCTTTGTAGGCTTGTATGCACATGCACATGTACCCTGGTAGTTTGCGCATACTTCACAGATGAGTAGTGTTGCATAGAAGACACATGTGAGACTCCTTCCTGTGTGACTTCTTACCGTGAGGATGTGACAAGGTTCTCATGGGCAAGTTCTGCCTGTCATTTTTTTAATCATCTAATTTTTGTCTTCCTGTCACAGATCCTTGCTAGAAATCAGACCAATGACCTCATCTGAAGCTGTAGCTTTCGGCCATCTGTATGTGGCTGAGGAACTGAAGATTGAATGAGTAATGGACAAGATTTTCACATCAATATGGAGTTGCCTGTTGTATCGCAGTGAGGAGATAGTGCTTACTTTGTCAAGAAGCTACCAGTGGCAGAGATAGTTGATGCGATTAAAAAAAGTGCTTGAGCCGTTACAGAGGAGAGGGTAGGAACTATGGGGGCATTCCTTGATAAGCCAAAGATGGAGAAAGAGAATGAAGTTGGCTGCGGCAATGGCTTGCGCTTTGCCCTTTGCAGCATGCAGGGCTGGCGAGTGGAGATGGAGGACGCCCATACCGCTGTCATTGGCCTTCCGTTTGGCCTCAAAGACTGGTCATTCTTTGCTGTGTACGATGGCCACGCAGGCTCCAAAGTTGCTAAATACTGTGCCAAAAATTTATTGGATGAGATCACTTCAAATAAAGAGTTCAAAGGCTGTGACAAGCCAGGTCCTACTTTCCAACCGACAGAAGACAATGTGAAAATGGGACTGAGGACTGGTTTCCTTAACATTGATAAAAAGATGAGAGACATATTAACAAGAGAGAATGACAAGAGTGGATCTACAGCTGTTGGGACTATTATCTCACCAAAGCATATTTTTTTTGCTAATTGTGGTGATTCTCGTGCATTGTTAAGTCGTAAGGGAACAGTGTGTTTCTCTACAGAGGACCACAAGCCAAGTAAGCAAAATGAGAAGAATCGAATTGAGAAAGCCGGCGGAACAGTTATGATCCAGCGAGTAAATGGATCACTAGCAGTATCAAGGGCCTTAGGAGATTATGAATACAAAAGCAATTTTGGAATGGGTTCTACTGAGCAACTTGTCTCTCCAGAGCCTGATATCAAAGTAATACCGCGGCAGCCTGATGATGAGTTTATTGTTCTTGCTTGTGATGGAATCTGGGATGTCATGAGTAATGAAGAGGTTTGTCGCTTTATACGATCACGGCTAGAACTGACTGACAACTTGAAAGAAGTCTGCAACATGGTGGTTGATACGTGCCTATGCAAGGTAGGTTATTGTGCTTACTGCCACTGCAAGTATAATGATAAAACATTGGCAAGCTGAATCAAAGTGTTAATTACACGTAGGTGTCTCAAAAAGTATGAACCGCAAAAGTATTTTATTCTAAATGGGAAGTTTATTTAGATAATTTTACATATTTCTTTTCAGAGCATCCATGCAGGTTTCATTGAAGGACTTGTAGTGTTTATCCTTGAAGGATCTTTACTGCAGCATGCTACCACTTGTAGTTTTGTCAGTTGAAGATGACACTAGCGACCAGATAATTTTTCAGGTTATAGGGCATGTGGGATATACATGTACATGTACATGGTCGTCAAGTTTTTATTATGCTATAGTACATGTGCGTGTACATGTACCATACATACATGTACAAGTACGTCATTCTAAGCCAAGTACATGTACCTCCAAATTTAAGTGTGAATTTTTGCTTATTTGAATTAGTCATGTAACATATTTTCTAAGGCTGTTTCAGGTGAAATCACTAATTTGAAGATGTAGCCACAGTGCAATGTATTTATTTTTAGTTCATCATTCAGAAAATGAAATCCAGCTGCCAAAGAAGGCAGACGTGTAAATTATATTTTCCTCATGCTCTCTTCTGAGGAGGAGGTATGGTGGCCCCAATGAGTACTGGCCCTCTGCAGATTTGCATCTTGGTTCGTTTTAATCAGCTGCAGAATCAGTTTTTTTTCCAAAAAGAAATGTCAAATTCATTGACCTGACAATTTTGTGACAATTGAGATGAACACATATACACACAAGTAGCTACCAGCATTGGTTTTCCATGCATTTGGCCACACACATTCAATTACGTTACTTTCCTACAGTGTAGTGCTTACATGTACATGTATGTACATTCCTTGTTTTTGTGCAGTTACGTGCAAGAACACTCAGTGAAATACCCGTTTTTCTTCAACTTGGAACATGATTTTCAGCTGGATTTTTGTAAAATATTTCTTTGACTAATCCTTTTCCTTTTACTACGGATAACCCTAACCCCCAAATGCCTCCAAACTTCCCTTACATGTAAGAGACGGGCAAACGTCCTGTGGCTATGGGTAAGTCCACAGAACGTCTTCCCTTCCTGTATCGTATGAATATCTTTTGTTCACAAGTCCACGGCAGGTATGTAACTTTAGTGCATTTGTCCAGTTCAAGGTGATGGTGTGAAGGTGGGCAACTTTTCCCCATCCTTCAAGAAAAAACAAGTCATTGAGTAAAGTCTCTTCAGTGCAGCCATAATGATTAACCTCTGAACTTGTTTCACATTGGGCTTTATGTTCCTTCCTTGTAGGGGAGCCGTGATAACATGAGTATCATCATTGTCACACTTGAAAATGCACCTAAGGTGTCACAGCAGGCCCTTTCCAAAGAGGCAGAGTTAGATCAAGCACTGGAAGCAAAAACAAAAGGTACAGTGAGTGGTTGAAAGCACATTTGCATACATGTAGGAGGTTTATTACGTGAGTACAGCCCCTGTTATTTAAGAAATGTCCTAACCTGCTTGGTTTCTCTGAAGAACTGTTTTATTACTCCTCGTAAATATATCCCGAACAAATTGTAGCACATCATTGGCCAATTCCACTGCGTGTCTGGGAAGTAGAAATGATACGTGCCTGGGTGACGTCATCCTGGTGTGTGTGTGTATCCAGCCCGTTGTAGTGTGGTATTTTCTGGTAGCTCCAAAAATTCCCTCAAAAACCTGCGGCGTAGACACTTAGAGTGTGGCAAGTAATCTTAATGGAACCAGTCTATTGTACAATGTACAATAGTGCTTAATTATATTCAGATATTGTGCATTTTTGTCGTAAATGGCTGTGCAAAACAAATTTTGATTTGATCCTGATCATAATCCAACTCATGCTCAGTAGAAGGCAACTCCAGAGGGAATGCTTTTTTGCCAGACGGTGGCCGGTGCAGTGCTCCAGCATGCGACAAGATTTGGTTGGAGCGGTGGCCTTGCTTGTTTTTTATTTGGTTTCCTTGCTGTATAGTTTGATCATATTTGATCGAAGTTGTAATATGAATACGTTGTATTGGTATTTTGCCAGGTTACGAAATTGTTCGTAAATCTCAAATAACAAAATGCCGTATCTGTGTGAAAAACGACTGATGGAAAATTGCCCCTTTGGCCATGGGCACTGTCCTAGGAAAGAATGCTGACTTCAAACCAAGGTTCTTCTTCGAATACATTGCATGCCATAGTTTAATTCATGCAGTTGAATCTGTTTCGTGAAAAATAACCAAAACACAATTTGCTTGAAATCTGATTTGATGGATCTTTTATCCTGTATTTGAGGAAAGTCCCATTTGTGCAGTCTGTTCTTTCAGTTTTCACATATCCTATGATTGCTTTGAGTCAAGTGTGCTCCAAGCGCAACTGTCTTTGGTCGACAAATTACGGTCAGAAAATATCACACCTGAGATGGTAATTTTCTATGGAATGTTAACTCCTGAATGGGGAAATAGTTTAGAAAAAAATGTGTTCAAATCGAAGTTGCTATTGGATGAGAAAGGAGAGGAGATTCATTGCTTGTATTCATGTATTACGTTGTATATACATGTACATGGAAGTATGGTATGTTTGTAGTGAGCTCTTCGAAGTCTCAGTGTGCATTGGACATATGTATACCTGTACATGTCCGAACCCGAACCGAACTGAACCTTGGCACCTACTTGCAGCAGGAGTATGTTACTAGATTTCCTTCATTTTATGAGTTGAATATTCATGGGAGGTAGTAAAACAATACAGCATGAATTACTTCTGAAAAGCAGTGAGAATTACTGGTCCGTTGGTATACAAGTACATGCACATGTAGGTCAGCTCGACTACCTCCTGACGCACCAATCTCTTCAGCAGGGAAGGGCGGTTTCATCTGTGTCAAGTTACATGTACATAGAACAGACAAGTGATCAGAGAAAAGATGATGCAGAGTTGGAGGGCTTTCCAAAACAGTTTCTGATTGATGGGTAGTAACAAGATCTAAATGTGATCCATCTCATGCATGTTGATGTGTTTGCTGGAGACCCACAGATTCAAGAATCACTGAAAAACTATTAGTGTTGGGGTCATCTAGCATTCAAGATACCAAGTTTTAGAGGATTTTCAGAGACCTCCATAGGTTGTACCATATAGGAATAAGGATATAGGCATGGTTTTCGTGATCGTGGTAATAAATGTGATCTGGTCTGTAACCAAAATGAACAGGAATTTTACTTTGGTACCTTCACCTACCTGTTTGCCAGGCCTGCTGATTGCCTTCCCCTGAACAGGAGGATCCTGTTTGCTTTCAATTCAGTTGGAATAGGGCGATTACAAGTTGTTGGATTTCTTAACGACTGACGACGGGTTTAGGTTTTAAGTAAATTCCACTGAAGAGCAAGCAATTCCTAACAGAACTACAACTACCAAGACTGGTGCCTGTGCGCAATGTACTTGTTGGACCTGGATTGAGCAGAACATCCATAAATATAGTAATGTGCTGCAGACATGGCTGAGGATCATGGCCAGGTATAACCAGACTAGTTTGCCCATATTTAGACCATTTAATTAATGGCATCTAAGATAAATTAAATCCGGTACGGGGTAGCTTCTGCACTAAGTGAAGCCCTGAATGAACTATCCTCTGTCTCTGATACAGGTAATCTCAGTATTCCTAAAGAATCCAATCGGTTGCAACTTGTGATTAATAGAGGTGACACAGGATAACCCTAAGAATCGAAAGCTAAAGCAGGCACGCAGAATCATGGTGGTTGTGGTACTACTGGTACTTACATGAAGGAGACCCTTGCCCGTGGAGATTAATAGTCTAGACAGTAGCAAAGCGCTACAATTAAAAGACCCAATGGATACTTCAGTAGCCTGGAAATGTTATAACTTGTGTGGGATTTCTTCAAACTAAACCTGTGTGATTCCATTGATGACAGTGCTAAGCGTGTTTTTGGAGTTTACAGCTGGTCCTTTATCCATAGAAGTGTGTATCATTGCAAATTTAAATTGAGCCACTCATTTGCATGTGTTACTGTTACCGTCATGTTTGAAACCGAACTTGGTACTGAATTTTGCCCCAGCTTAACTGAATTGCAAGTACATGTAAGTGTAGATTGAGCAGTATTGTCCATGATGCCAGATAGTGTCTGCATTGGACTTAAAACCAAAACCTCCTTGCACATGTACAATGTACATGTATGTGTAAGTTGTTAAGTTCCCGTCAAGACTGCAGCCAGTTGCCAAATATGCAAGTGAAATTCTCTCAGGTGCCTTCCACATACATTATAAATATATATATATTAGTGTGGATGTAACTATGTCTTAAGTGCAAATTCTTCCTGGAATGATGCTGTGATCAAAAGATAAGTGAGGCCTGTTGTTGAATACTTTATCAGCTTGCATGGTAATTTTCATTCTTTTCGTTGTAGAGATAATGGACAGTTTTGGTGAGCGGGTTGGCATTGACTTGGTAATGCATGTTATGACAACAACAGATATAGAAGGTCTACCGCCGGGTGGAGGGATACAAGCAAAGTGAGTCAATGATTGAAAACTGATCAGGATTTACCGAAGAGGACCCCAGCACTATCCATTTTTCACTGTGATGCGGGTTTCTGTTTTCTCAGTACATAGCCCATCCTTAACATATCTTCGGATACAGTCGACTCCCGTTATTACGAGCTCGGTCATAACGATAACCCGGATGCAACAAGCATATTCTCCCAGTCCTGAACAATTTGTGTTCATTGCTATGGAGAAATATTTGGTTATTACGTGCACGGATATTGCGAGACTCCGCCTACGACGACGATTTGTGCCGACCCCATGCGAGCAAATGTATTGTTGTCAACCCATTTACAGCGACTTTTTCCAAACGAACTTCAATGTAATGTTGTTTCATCTCGCCAATCTTTAATCAATGACATTGCGCCCTCTCCTGTCCCATTTCATTAAATGCAAATCTAATGTGAAACGCATCCCCCCTTAAAACAGGTGCAGGAAAATGTGCCCTACAAAAAGCATCAACATAATCCAAAGCTATTATTTGCTTGTATTAAAGAAAAATTCCACTAGGAAAATAATCTCATCTAGGCCTACATCTCAACAAAAATCCTGGACATACAGTTAATAGTGGCGCCCTCTTTTGACTGGTTTTAGCCAATTCATGACGAAAGCAAAACGTACACTCAGGACGTGTGACGTACATGTACTTACCGGCACGGACTTGAATGCTTCTTCTCACTCGGCTATTCCCGGCGGCTTCTGATCCAGGTTGTCAAATATTTGACTTTTACATGTACTTTATTTACCGCGTATATAATATTTCTCATCAACATTAGATAAAAATTCAGCATCAATAAGAGACACATATCATTGTCTTTTCATGTGTTCGGCGTGCGGTATCGGTGTACCTGTACATGATTACAACAGACATGTACATGGCTATAAACTTGTGCAAAATGAGTGTGAAAAATTACGCTCCGGTTTTAATGACGCTCCAGCAATAACGACAGAATTGTGAAAGTCTGCCGGCCCTCATAATAATGGGAGTCGACTATATTTACATTGTAGGTCAAACAAAGATATACATGTAGTTGTGCTTCCAGTTACCCACCCAACCTAGCAAATCACGCCGACCCTAAACCTTTTTATTGAAAAAAAAAAAAACTGAAAAATATTGTTGCCGACCCTCATGCTTATTTTTATAAACAAAGCTTTGTAATTGTGTCAGTTTTTTTACTTTTTTTTCCTTGAATATTGGCATTTTTCTCATGGGTGGATTGGTCTTGCGGTAATCGTCTGCATGATCATGATCAAGCGCCATGCAAATACATGCCACACGCATGGATTTCACGCAGGACCCGTTTAACATGACGTCCTCTATTGTCCGTTGCTGCTGTTCGTTTGAGCATTTCGTCTGCTTGCCGTACGTAAACTATCATTGATATTAAATGCAAACGCAGTCTGGGGCCCGGACTATGTATTGCTCACTGGCACGTCACGTCACGTGTGTTTTGCTTTAAGCTTGCATGCTGTGCTTGCTCGTGTCATGGCAGTGGACAACATGCTGCGGGCCAGCATTCGCCTTAGAATGCATTTCAGCAAGTAAAATAGTGAGGTTTATTTAGTACAGTGATACCTTGCATATCTGAGTTTCGAACTTCTGCATCCAAAAATCACTCATTCATTAAAAAAAAATTTCCCACCCGAAATTTTGACCCAAAAACTTAAGATGAAAAAAAGATACATATACTACCCACCTATCCAACGTATTTTTTGTTCAATATAATAGGAAGCACAACTATTGCTTTGTAAGGCCTTATCATGTGTAAAATATATGTAAGTGTCAAATTGCTTTAGAGAAAAGCTGGACTCTAGGGCTTGTACCTCATAAATTTACTAGATTGGAACAATTGTTGTGAGGCAGACAAAAAACAAAAGTGATTATGAACAAATTGTTTAAACATGTGCGATACGTACGTACGTACGCTATCTACATACAGTAAAATCTCGAGTCAAAGCTCGTTAAGTTGACACGCCGTTTAGCTCGACGTCTTTCTCTATTCCCGACAAAAGAATAGACCTTTATGTACAATAAACTATCCGTAACTTGAAACATCAATACCACTAAAGCCACTTATCTTGAAGTTGGCGGGCCAATTAAAAAACACTGAAGAACGATGAATAAAAAGTGATGAAAGAACACTTGCCTTCATTATGAGTCATTACTGTCACGTGCACGGCTTTTTCTTTGATGAGCCGAGCATGTTCACACGGGCTGACATTGTCACGTCGACAAGCACTGGGTGGGCAACCGTAAAATAAATCAGGCACAAATGATGCGCCCTCAAGTGCTTTGTACATGTATCACGTGACCCAGCACGAAAACCCTGACCGAGGCCTGTGTGCTGCGTTATGTGGTAACAGCCCGATCAAACAAAGCAAATGAATGAATTCTCAAGACATAGACACAGGTACCGGTACATAACTTCATTGGTTTATTGTTTATTAACCCTAACAGCCCTGAATCCTCCAATTTTAATATGATTTTGCACACACCCTAGGGAGTAGGGTTAATGTACTACATAAAAACATGTTTAACGATGATGTTTGAGGAAAACTTGCACAGTAAGGTTAGCCTAAAATCCACTTCGTGTTCGACTCAGCTTGCAGACTAACTGCTGTAAGCCCGTAAGGTTCCATGTGCACTGAAGCGTGTAACTTTCGATAACTCAAACTTTTTGTCCATTTCCCTGAGCTTCAACTTATCGAGATTTTACTGTATAGCTACTAGCACACACACGTATGTACACATGCTTTTACATGCATGTATGCCTACGTGTACATACATTTTATACCTTAGTGCACATAATTTTTCATGTGCAAAAAAATTCAGAATTATTCGTAGGTAAAAATGTAAAAAAGAAAAAAAAATTAGACTGCTGGGCTTGTACTTGCATTGATGTTGCAAGACCAATTTGAACATCACTGTTTTCAATCGACCAGTCCAATGGGTATTTCAAATGCTTGAGGAGAAAAGAGTTGGTCATTGATCCTGGCACAAGCTTATTCCGAAAGTGTATAGAGCAAAAACAAGGTAATAAAATTTTTGGACCGTGAAATAAAGTTCTAACAAAAAGGAATGGGTGGGTTACCAGTAAAATACATTTATGTGGTTTATCTGCACCAGGATATTGATAAACATTCATTTTTCTTGGACAGGAAATCTACCATCGAAGCTATTGTTAACAGACTAAATTCAGACCAAAAACAGGATGAGGTAGGTGTTGATTGCAGTGCCATTCTAGCTTGCAACGTGTTTTTAGTTCACTGCATGCCAAATTAAGGTTTCAACTTTTTCTTGAATAACGTTGACTTTGAAGCCATACACCCATGCATATATTTAGGTACATTCCGTGTAAATTATGGATGTAATTTATACTCACACTCCCACACAATTTGGGAAATGCTGAGTCTAGTTTCAACAAACAGGTGTGAGATCTAGAGTGATAAATCACACATAAACTGTGAATTACATTCCATTTATTGTTACTATCATTAGTTTATTTAAAAGGTAACAAATAGAAAACATGTAGTTCATGTGAAGTACATGTACTTTAAAATAATAATAAACAATAATAAATAAATTTAATGTTTGCCCCATTAATTATGACCTCAAAATGAATAAAAGAACCTGCGTTTCCCCCACTACCCACAAAAAATCCCCTTTTGGCCGTTCGCACTCTCAGGCTGATTGCAGATTTGCTCACAGGCAAACAGTGCCTCAGTTCAAAGTAAAAATTAAAAGAGACAGGCCTACCGTGTATTTCTTGAACTGGGACAGTGTTTGCCTGTGGGCAAAGCTACATCAAACACAACGTGATCTACTGAAGCGTGCGATACTTCATGTACTGTGCACAGTGTATACTGTACATGTACATTGTACACGTCAGTGTTCTGGTGATGACGTCATCCAATCAGCCTGGGAGCGCGAATGGCCAAAAGGGGATTTTTGTAGGAGGGGAAATGCAGGATCTTTTTATTCATTTTGGGGTCAAAAATAATGGGGTAAACATCAAATTTATGGTGTTTTTGAAATGGTTATGTATTTATTATTTAAAATACTTCATGTGAACTAAATGTTTTATAGTTCTGTACCTCTTTAAAAAAAAATTTGCCTCTTTGCAAAGAGGCCAAATTACACGGGGATTAAATTTAACATAAATAAAATTAGTCCTTAGAGTTCCCCTTAAAGCTGGTATCTTTTTTAATGTAGAAATTGCATGTACATGTAAACACATCCCTCCCACTGTGCAAATTTGATAGCGCTGTTTGAATTGTCTGTTATTTTTATGTATTGCTCTTTTTTTTCAGGAGGCATCCGATGACGCTTGGTAGGCTGTCTGGTAGTTTGAGGAGCCTATGAATTTGTAGGGATGGACAATGTGTGCATTCTCTTAATGGATGGAATTTCTTCTAGCTTGGGCTCTGCACTTTGGAACTGCACCTTGACTGACAGCATTGTCAGGAGCTGTGTACAGTAAACCCTGCCTTCTGAATGGTCCTTGGTGAAATATGTGAATGAATGGTCAAACACCCACTCATGGAGACTAAACCTTCTAGATGTTATGAAGGCTTTGGTAAAAATTCTTCAATGTCTCTACATTCTGTGAGTACGCACCAAGGTGGAACACCCCTTGCGTTCTCTGCTGAACGTCAGACTTGTTTTGTGTACACACGGACACCCAGTTGGCGTAAGTGTGGTCGCAGTGATACGTGTACATACACGTACATGCATACCATCGAGTATCACACAGTGGTTATGAGACTTGTACATATTCATAGCCATTCATGGGCCACTCCTAGATTAGATGTACATGTTACTAGTTGCACATAATCTATTATAGTGTCATTATTGCCAGAATGCAAGCATGTGCACTGTAATGAACATAGCCTGCTGTGTCTCCACCTGTGTGGGAAATGTTTTTGAATACTAACAAGCATGTTTGAATGAACTTAAATGGAAAAAAAAAAGTGTCAGGGCAAATGTTTGCAGTTAAGATGTGGACTGAATTTTTTCCTTTGTTTCTTGAGAAAAAATGTAAAATTTGAGAACCTGTGCACAAAATCTTGTGAAGCCTCAGAATGAAATACATTGTACTGCTGAAAAAACCCAATCTTTTCATTTACACGTGTGTTAACCATTTGCTGCTGGGGCATTCATCAATGTTGAAAATGCTGGTCCGGGGTAATTATCATTTTTTTCTGTTTTCAAAATTCTTTCTTTAAAAATTCCTATCTTTATTTACTGGAAACTTACACCCACATGAAGGACTGTCTGGTCTCCACTCTAGCCTGACAGACAAAATCTATTGACGCCTGATTATTTCAGCCAGGCCTGCAGTCTTGTAAAAAGAGCCCAGATTGTGCGGTGTTATATAGCTTTCTGTTGTTCTTGAACCTGGAACAGTGTGCTGCTGACCTCTTTTCAATAGGGGCTAGATTAGCACGCAGCGGCGCTGTGTGGCTTATCTCTGCAGTGGTGGAGCGCTTTTGTCCCGCGTGGTAATCCGCTCGCTCTAAATGCCCCAAACTGTGGTATACTGTTTCAAAACAAGGCTGGATTATCTCCATTTTTGAGAGTGAAAAAATGTTGGTAATGCCCAGCAGTCTGGTCTTTTGTTCCGAGTACGGTCTTTTGTTACAAGGCCCTGTTCCCTTTGTCCGAATTCGGAGACCCCGGCCACACATATAAAGCATACGTGTCCGGAATCCCCAGCAGGAAGTGGTTAAAGAAAGAAAGAGTAACAGTTCAGTATTATTAGTTTGGTTGTATTTAGCTGTTAAGTCTTCTTTCAGTCACCAGATTTGTACAGTCAGACCAGGCCCTGTTGAATTCTTTCTCATGGCCTCACTCTGATCTGCACTGGCTTGTGTCAAGCAAGGGATAAAGTGGCAAAGACTAGGAAATGGTAAAAACAGCAAGTGTGTGATGAATTTCTGTTGCATTCGATAAGCGTGATGCATTTAGTGCAAAGTCTTCACCGTTTAGCAGAATCACTGTCACTGTTTGCTTGGATGAACTGTACATGCATGTAAACCATTACTTAAAAGATGTATATGTACAGTTATAGCCTTGTCTTTGGATGTCAAATGTTCTAACACTATGCCAAATCAAATGGGGGGGATTTAATATAAGCTTTTATTCAGGTACTTCAAATGAACATTCCTTGAACTCTTGAGTGTTGATTGACAGACAAGGGTTTAATTGTCCACACAGTTTTATACTGTAAATTCTTTGATTAATCATTTTAGCCTTAAAAATGGAGTGATTTCATCTATCATTGCTTTACCTACAGTGTATGTGTGTTATTCTGTAAGCTGTGATACTGTAGACTTCTCCGTGAATCTTTCTGAATCTTGTCAAATTCTGTGCAGAGACTTGCATTCTGTTGGCTTTAACCTGTATCAGAAGTGATGCTGTACCTTCCTAAATCCTGCAAAATCCTTCAGAACCTGGTAGATTTTAAAGGATACGAGTTTGGTTTGTGCTGCTCCTGCATCTTATGTGTTCATTCGTCGCAAAACCTATTTCTACCAGGAAATGTACACTTAGTCATTCTGGGTATGACACATTTAGATTGAACTTTACGATTTCAATAATAACTGTGGTAAGTAACTGTCTACTTCATTGGAATCATTGTCAAGATCCTTCTGAATGAGTTGTGCAAACCCAATACTACATGTACATGTATGTGTATACTTTTAGCTTAACCATAGGCAAATTCTCTGTACAAAAAAACAAAACTAAATCTCAGGAGTGTAAAAGTGGCCAGGCTGCACGATACACATAGGCCCAAATCCATCAGATAACACCAAAACAGGTTTTGGATTGTAATGTGTGGGTTAACTAGGGTCAGTCTTTGCCCTCATAAACAGTTGCAGTGATGATTATTGATCCCCAAATTAAAACTTGATACTTAAAACTACATAGTATCATACTGATGTTACTGATGCTTCAATTAGTTTCAAGGACAATTGGGCACTAGTGTGAGACCAGTGACTTGATACAAGACACTGTAACGTGCTGTCTTAGGGACTCTGAAGTTGGATCAGTTTAGCAATTTGACTGCTGAAATTGTTTAGCTGTCAATTCCTTCCCTCCCAGACCTCAATGGGCACTTGCATGGGCATCACTGGGGTTTTTTTTTTAAGTAAATTCGGAATTTTCATCCCCTTTCTTCCTTTTTTTTTTCATTTCTCTCAAAATGTGTTTTTTCCCCATATTTTTTGCCCCGCTTCCTGATGCCCATGGGCCATTTGGATATGCCCTTCTGTGCTAACTGATCCTGCATTAGAGTGAAATGTAACAGTTCACGCTCAGTGTAAAGAACATGTTATATCAAAATACTGTTGTAAAGAGGAAAGTCTGTGAACCCCATTTTCTTGAATTTTTGTTCCACTCCCTCTCTCCCTCAATGATGGAGTCCTGATAACAGCACTTGTCTGGTTTCTGCCACTTTGTTATAATGAGAGTTGACTGTATTTGAAATTTGTAAGTGCTCACCTGCCACAAAAATACCCCTAATGCATATATAAACGGAAAGGTTGTGCTCATGTTTGCTTATTTTTTTTTTATAAAGTTTGTGTGTGCATATTGTGAAAAACAAATCAACTGAATAAACAGGTTGACTTGCATAATGCCAGGGACAATGTAAAGCCCATGAGATAAATTTTTGCTGTGTGTGTGTATACGGTGTACATGTACGTACATGTACATGTACATGTATGCCCTGGCAACTGGTGCCCCACTGACAGTTTTATTGGCAGTGATTTTTACAATTTTTTCTTCGGTGAGGTGGTTGTAGGGGCTGTGGTTGGGAGTGCATGTCATAACTTGACCTCCTTGGGGCCATCCAGTTAAAAAAAAAACCCACTAATTTCATGATTCTGTGAATTTTGGTCTCGGAGAAAGGGGTGGGGTTGTTAACAGCGTATTTTAACTGTTAAACAGTAAAAATTGATGGGCCCTCTTCATCTTGCATGTGTTTATTAGGGGACAGTTAAAAAAGAATGTGCTTGTGAAATAGATGAAGAATGGATGACCCCTTTACAGAAACCAGTTATATTTTCTGTATATGAAAATTCCTAAATGTAATCGGTCCATTTTTACTCTAAGCTTTTTAATCCTTGTATGTTTTTTGTGTGCTTGACTTTGAATGGTCCCTTGAAAAATAGTTGATTTACTGGCCAAGTTGCCTTCCTTTGTCAGCTGTAAATGCCTCAAAGGTATCTGATTGTACAGGTGTAAGTTTGGATCCTTGTTGGCTGCTTTGTTCTTGCTAGTGACATACCTATTGACAACACCTTGCTCTGTTGCTCGCTACAACTTAATGGGATCAGAAATCTGTGTTTGGCTCCTGGATGTCCTTATGTAAGCTACATGTACCAAGTGAATATTTAAAATGAAAAGTGTAAATAGAAAGATCAGTTGCTTGCATTTGTGCAGACACTGACTCTGAAATTTATGATTAAAAAAAAATAATCAGACAAAAATGGCTGGATAACCTTATATTGGAACTGTTGACAAATCTGTTGAAAATTTAATAGTTTGTATATTATTGATCGTTGGAAATATTTGTTGTATGTATGTAAATGTTAAGACGGGCTTAATACAGCTTCAAAGTATGTCGATGGAATACTTACATGTACCTGAATGTTTCTTGATCAGTTGTATGTTTACCTTCTTAAGTTGTCTGTGCCAGCGCTTCAGGTGATAGTACATTGAAATTTGTTGGACATCCAGTTGACACACAAATGTGGGGCATCCGAAATGAGATTTGGTTTTTCCCAGATATGGCATGACGTGTACATTTTATCTTAGAATGGGTTGATCAATCGTTAACTATCAAACTTAGCAACATTCACAAACCTTTGGTTTCTGCTACTCTTAAATAATACACAACCAGTTGTGTCCAGTGAATTTGTTTCAGAGATTGATTGGGACTAGAGTTTGAGTGCTACCTAGTTTGATAGAGGCTCCATGTACAGCTCGCTGCTCATGTAAGACTCACTCTCAGTAATGGTAATTGAAAATGTTGCTGTCAGTATGGGGCACAGTGTTTCCTCGATGTTAACAGAAATGTGAAGGCCCATTTTGCCTTGGTTATACTGAACACAGCTCAGTCTAATATGGAGCTGGTGTGGGCTCTGTGGACAAGTGAGAGAGCAGGGAGTGATCTGCCTTGAGTTGGCTCACAGTTTGTGGTGCTCTGTCATATCGAGTTGGTGCAGATTACACAAGTTATTTCCTCAATCTGCAGTGCCTTTCCACAGAGGGACAGTACCAGTAGGTTTCAATTTTACTCCCCTCAGTGCTAGTCAGCATTGGTGTACTTGTGGAAATAAGTGATAGGATGAGAAAAAAAACTTGCTTTGCCACCGGCTAACTTAGTTGTGATGTAGCTTTTGCCTGTGTGTTTTTAGATATGCATATGAAGCTCTGTCATTATCTAGCGTTTAACTTCTCTCATCCCATAAATAGATGTGCTGAACGTCAACATGTTGGCTTCCCGTGTATTGGTGAGGTTGCTGATAACCAGTGGTACAGCCAACATTAGAAAGCTGGTCCCAAATACAGCCAACTCTCATTATAAAGAACTCTATAACAAAATACCATTAAATAGAATGGATTTCAAGAATCTCACTTTCATGAATTCTTATGGTTTCCTTTCCTTTGTTTTTCCACTCCTCTCATAACAAAACTCCTGGTTATAACAAAGTAATTTGTCTGGTCTCTGGTACTTTGTTATGACATGAGTTGACTAGTCCAGCCATCATTTGACCAGCAATCTGATTCAGTTGAATCGTATAATTATGTGTTTGTCGTAGCATACTCCAGGAAGGGTAGAGGCAGAGAAATATGGAGGGATCTGACCATGCCAGCAACACAAGAACTTAAAAGTCAGCATACCGGTACATGGACATGTACATGTTACCCAAGTTAATTGCTTGGAATCAGATATGCTTTTTGTTGTCTTGGACCAGTCAAATCACATTTGGTACATCAAGGTATCTTGGATGACAATCTGACAAAAGTTTTCGAGGCCATTTTACTCTCTGTACGTTTTGAGACGACCTTTTCGACAGTTGTGCTTCAGTGATGTAAACAGTTACCAGCATTGTACTCTTACAAATCTCAGTGTGTTTGAGCTTGCTACTTTATTACATCTATGAACATAGGGTTCACCTCTCAAAATAGTGTGGCTGTCTGATACAGAATGGGGACATTTCTAAGAATCAATTTACTAGTGTTGTATTTTAAGAGCCTGCAAATCGGATGATTTAATACCCAGCTATTACGTCCTGTGCAGTGCTTACCCTTGACATGTATGCCATTGTTTGCATAAGTTACCCAATCAAGTACAGTTTACTTGTACATTTGTAAAGTTCTGTAAGCTGTGATGAAATGCACGTGTGTCGGTGACACACGGTGAAATAATGTGAATCATTATTAAAATGAGGTCTTTCAAGCACAAATGACTTTAAAAACTGGATTTTAATTTTGTGTTTGTGAAAGAAAAGCACAGTGCCCTTATGATGTTCAAAGTTTATCTTTTTTTTACCATATTTTTTCATACAATAGTAAGGTTAAACTGTAGATGGACAGACTGTGGCTACATAGATCCCTCAAGGGGAAATTTCTTTTATGTTAGGATGTATCCAGCTTCATAGGAAGAAATCATAGAAAAGTTACAAATGCATACCATACATGTATATGTAAAACCACATGGAAAATACCTCACAAAATATAATAAAACCAGTTTGCTTTGGTTATGCGAGAGACAAGAAAATTTCTACATGTAGTTACTTCTGTTGGGATGAATGTACATGTACAGTTGTGTTGAGATTTGCATATACGTTGTAGAATAAAGTTGTTTGTGAACAACATAGCTTTGGAGACTGCATTGCACAGACTGGGAATGTGTTTTTTGAAGACCTATTAAGACCAGATCGCTTTAAGGAATATTATTTCCATTTGATTGAGATGTACCTGTTGGACTGCATTGCTGTTTAAATTAATTCAAATGCAACCATGCAGAAAACATTACAATTGACAGCTGAGATGTGAATTCATCTCCCATAGAAATTTGGCACATTCTGAAGCAAAAATGCAACCATATGCCCAGAAAGGGCTCTACAGTATCAAGTACAGGTATTCTCTTGATATTACTGTAACAAAAGTTCAAGTGGAAGGCTTTATGTTGCTGTCAGAGTAACAACTATGGGCCATTAGTAAGCTTACTTTATCCTTTGAGGGAACTTTTAATTGTAGAATTCATGCACATACCCTGGCAATATGTACTTGGCTTTATCAAAAAAGGGGTCATGTGCTTTAATCCATTTGTATTTCTTTCTGCCTTCAAGGAACATCTTCACCGAGAATGCAATGTCCATATTGTCCATCATTTGTAATTTTGCCAGCGTGTTGAGTATATTTTGTACTTTCAGCTACATGCATACTTGCAATCTGTTGTCACGAAAAAAAAATGGCATTCTTCACCTGAATTGCAAAAATGTGGTTTCCACAAGGCATGTGCTTTGAATGCTTTTAAGAATTTGTCAGAATATATTGAATCACCTGTAGATAATGTATAATGACAAGTTGATTCCGTGGCATTTTTGAAATTATACTGTAATATTACTGTACATGTAATGTGATGATTTGGCCAAAAAGCTGCCAACACTAGAGGCAGTTTGAAAATTGTGTTCCAATTGTTTGGGAAATAAAAGGAAGATAGTTTGATTGCAAGACTGCTGTTCAGACAGTTGACTTGACTTGATTGGCTTTTTTAAAAAGCACCTGCAGCTGATTTCCCAAAACTTTACACAATGGCGTAACATCACTTACAGCACATTTTAGTGTGTATGGTGCAAGACAAAATAAGAGTGATGTCACAAGACTTTGGCACTGCGTAAGTTTAGCACTGCGTAAGTTTGGCACTAGCACAACAAATTATGGCGTAACTTAGGCAGTCATTTTAGGTGGTGTAAGTTGTGCCAAACAAAGCGAAAATGAATGATTTGACTAACTCATCGAGTTCGGTTAAGGCACATCATTGCTGAGTTTAACGAGTCTTATATTTAGAAGGTAATGAAAAACTTGTTTGGCTGTGACAGAACTACAAAAATTTCTGTCCGGTTCTGATGAAGAAAAGACAAAAACTTTGTCAAAATGGCAGATGGAGGTCATTCAACGACTGTTTGAGGACTTGTTATACTGAAAAATAACAGCTGTTGTAAAAGCTATTATTGTCCACGTCCAAGAAATTTAGTATTAATTTAAAGTGGGGTGCAGCTAAGCAACTTTTCGTGAATTAAATCAAATATAAGTTTACTGCACATCTAAGACACGAATTTGTGGCACATGGCTTACCCATGGTTCAAAGTTACAGCACATTTCGTGAAATCGGCTGCTGGTTGCACAAGGTGTTCTTCACATGCAAAATATGTTTCATAGTGTTTCAGTTCAAAAGCAAGACAATACTTTTCATGCACAAATGGCTTGCAGATGTGCATCTACACGCACCTCAATTTTACCTCCGTGGGAGGAATCCTATTTGGTCAGTGATTGAAAACGCTGATGAGATTTCTGTGGAAGTTACTTGTCCAGAAGCTGGCAATCCAACAGCTTTTAGCGGAACTGTTCACAGTTTAGCATCACCTTTTCCCAAACAACTTCATCTTCAGCGTCTTTGGGACATGTCGGATAGTGAGTGAAATACGACAGGACCTTTCCAATCTGTCCCCGGGCATTTGGTCAGTCGGGGCAAGATTGGCTACACTGTCTGTGACAATGTCCTGGGTCCTCTCTGCAATGCCATGAAGGAAGGAGGTGTACATGTGATCCTTGAGAATCAGGAGGCTGCAGGGTTGGAGGAGAAGCGACAGGATAGGATGCTGGACTGTATCCTCAGATGGTGAATCACTCTCCTACAAAGTAAAGCAATATGAGAGACTTGTAAATATTGGTGCTACACTGTTCTGTCCCAATGGGAACAACGGATCAGTGTTGAAGGTAATAAATTGTAATATTAACTGACAAATTACATGTATATTACCAAAATTGGATACATCGATGTTTTCTGTATTTTCCCTTCCCCTGCAAACAACCACCAATTCCGATTTTTTTCATTTATATATAGATATGTCTTAAAGAGGGTCACATTATAGATTTTGTCCATGGTTTTTGACATCCGGGTTCAGGAACTGCTGTGCTGAGTGTTTTTGCATCCTTGCTTTCTACTAAGTCACCTATAATCACATGGATAATGGTCCAGTCTCCTGTTCTCTATCCTTATTAATGACATGCACATGCAAACAAGCCAGTCAAACTTCTTGACAAAACCACACTGTTGCTTGTGTGTTTTGTTGGTTGCATTTCTTGTTGGTTTGGCATTTGCTACAGTTCTGCAATATCATGTTCATGCCAATGGTTCCCCCTGCATCAAATTAGGAAACCGGGCTACTGGCAACCAGCTATGGGTAAGTACAGGTGTGGAACTTTAATTTGAGTGATAGCTGACTGCTTTTAATAATGCAAAAATTAATGCGCTATACAATTACGCCGGCATTTCTCTGAACTGCATGTATTTTGTAAAATCTCATTGTCACTTGCATTCTGCTGTTGACTGCAATTTTTTGCAGCTAATGACCTGTCAGACAATGAGCCCGTTCAGTCTTTCATAAAAGTAAGGTCATTTGGGAACTAAGCACATGCACAAGTCTGTGTACATGTAGCACTGCACTGATACGGCAGACCTTGCTTACGCATCGGAATGACCTCAGATGCACTTCATTGTGTGCATGCACTGTTGGAACTGGCGCATTCTTTTCCAAGTGTGTGATTGCCTCCACACTGAAAAGTTAAATCAGTTGTTGATAATCAGAAGTGTAACCATGTTCAAAGGCCAGCTTCAAAATAGTGGGCGAGAGGGTCCAAACCATCCCTCGTTAGGGCAAAGTTGGTCGAACTATAGTGTAACTCCAGTCGTCACTCCAACTTGCCCTCTGTAAAAGGGCCCCAAAATGTAGTTCCTAATGGTCAAGTAGAGCAGTCCACACCACCATCCCTACATTTAAGAGAAATTGGCCTAAAAGGTGCTTATGTATGCACGTTCATAAGAGCAATGCACGATAAAGCCGATTACAAGTAAATATAACACCTGCTTAGATTCCCTGAGATCTTCCGCGGATTCACTAGCATCTCCGCGATGTTGATAGAAATCCAAGAATGTGTGGGAACCCAGACTAATAGTTGTGACAACTGGATGGAAGAGTGGGCCATCTTCATGAGGCTGGAACCAGACAATAAAATGAGGCGAGTGTTACTTGTTTTTGAACCACCTGACCTTTTTTGATACAAGTACATGAACATATGCATGATGAACCAAATATCTTGCCCTATAGAGTAGTAAAGCCTTACGATTTGGATTAATCTCAGGAATTTTCTAGAACTGCTTCCTTCAGCAAACTTCCTGGTTGATATCGGTGTGTATGCCATTGCAGAATCCGTACCAATTGCAACCTTTACGGTAAAATTCCTCAAAGTCTATCCTTCCCGGATCTCTTCAAATTCAACTGGAGATTCTGAAGGTGCAGGATCGGCTGAACCCTGCAACTTGACTCAATCTTGATTGATGCCTCTCAACATTACATAAAGAATGTGTCACCTGTTTTTGCAAAGTGGAGGCTTTCGCAGGATTAAGTGAGGTGATGACACATACTAGTGCTGCATTCTACAGTGAGATGCCTAAAAAAGTGCATGCCTATGCAGACTGGATCGAAACTGGCAAATCCTACCATTATTCCTTGGCCTGGCTGGTATTCGTTCACTAAGACGTGATTGGGAACCAGATCTCTGAATACCCCAAGATCAGCTATCTGTTGACAGTACACCTCAAGCCACTGAAAAATGGGAGAAGGAATAGTTTGGCCCTGAAGTTTTGTATCATACATGTATTTCTGCTCTGTTGGCATTAATACTCATATATAGTTTATAAAGGAAAAGAAAGACACGCACAAAATTCTACTAAAGACAAATGAAAAAATACCCAGAACACTACTGACAATGATTAGTCCAATTCAAAATTACTTGTCTTTTGTATATCTGCAATGAACAATTGAATTACATGTACACAAACACTGTATTCACTTTTCAGTGAGGAAATCATGCAGTTTGTTTTAATACCTTAGGGAGCTTCTCTGCTATCATACCCTTTGGATGTGGAAGTCCTCCTACAATTAATGGAAGGAGTAGAAATCATCTTAATTAATGACACAAGTGTATGCCTTAGTAAACTGTCTCCTATTCAGTATTCTCCTAGGGGTTCAACTTTAGCAAACATTTGTACAAAACATACAGAAAGGCAAACCACATTTGCTTTGTAGAAAACTGGTTGTTATGGTGACTAAAATATGCGGAGTGAATGATGCACATGTTATTAGGGCAGCAACATTAGGGACCTGTTTGTTTCATGCAGATCTGGATCATGATCAGTGATCTGACATTGGTTTATTGACACCAGAAGCCACCTAATAGATGGCGCAACCCAGTTCTGGGATCACTGATTGAGATTGATATCCGTGCAAAACAAACAGGCCCTAAAAGGGTGGCACAAAATTGTAGCAGGGCGGCCAACCTTGCCAAAACTCATGGAAGGCAGTGCTCATTGAATCAAGCTAGGTTCACATGTACACTTCACTCACCCCAGTTCTGCAACCTTCTATTTGACAATTGTTTCCATTTTGGTTTGGGAGCACCATACACCTGGCAAAAAAAGGGAAAAAGTGCCCAAAATACCTGAATATTATGCATGTGCTTCAAGAAAATAGGAAAATTAAACAACCAGTAGAAGTTCAAATGAGCCATTAGCACACAGCATATCAATCAAAATGATAAGTTAGCAAAGAATTCTATCATGTCCTTCACAACTTTCGTAAATATTTGACAGTTTTATCAACAACACAAAATGGCCACAAATAGTTTCCATTGCCTGTTTTACTTTTTTGCTGGCATGTTACCCCCAAGACTGATAGGTGAAAAAGTACATTTCAACAATAACTTGTTTCTTCCTTTTTATGGCTCTCTTAATTTGTTGGTGACTGAGAACTTATTTCTTAATGTTCTTGTAACTTAGTAAATTACAGATTCAATAAATATGGCATATAACAAATAACAGAGACACAATGTACCCCTTCCACTGAACACAAAGTTACAATCAAACCAGTCTGTGCTTAACTTTAGCATACAAACATACAAGTTCACCATCACTTGTATCTCTACATCCATGGTTTCTCTACCTGTTGGGTGAGATATTTTTCTTCTTCTTTGCTGATAAAATTTGGTATGTAGTACACTGTGTCAGGAGCCTGTGGAGAAAAACAAAGTTTCCCTTTTTATCAACACATAATCAGAAAACTGTGTTGAGAAAAATATACTTCTAATCACACTTCAGCACACAATATCAATAATAATGCCTACACCGTTACTGTCCTTCAAGTATGACCACCACTGTTTCGGCCGTTGTAAAAAGCAAAATGTGGTTGATTGCATGTCCAACTTTTACAACCGGGTCAAACAAAATGTATAGTTCACGAGTAATGACCTGGTGTAGAAGGGCCTCAAAAATCTGGGATTTTTCATGAATATTCACATTTGGGGCGGTTACTTTTGCAGAAGTTCATTCATAAGAGTTCTCATGATGTAATGGATCTTTGAAACAGACAAATATTGGTGTGACAGGCTCAAAATTTGAACTCCAATAAAGCAACTAGAGTTTCATTAGTCACCATCGAGGGCTGATTTTCAGGATGAATTTCATGGTAAAAGTGAGTTTTCACAAACTCAATCACCATGTAATGCAAAAGAGCAGGTTATGATCTCTTCAAATTATATATTTTCATAATGAAAAACTTCACAAAAGAGGAAAAAACATGCACTTGAATAATTCATTGTAATCCTCAGCAGCGTTTCCCGCGAAACATGCAGCATGGTCTAGTATGGCAGCAGCAGAAGTATCAGAATATAAACTCAAACTTAACCACTTCCTGCCTGGGCAGTTATCAATGTTGATGATGCTCCGCTGGGATATTTATCAGGTTTTTTCTGTTTTTAAAATTCTTTAAAAATTCCCATCTTCATTTACTGGACACTTACAAACATGTGAAGGACTGTCTGGTGGCCCCTCTAGCTTGACAGACAAAATCTATTGACGCCTGAGTATTTCAGCCAGGCCTGCAGCCTTGTAAAGAGAGCCCAGATTGTGCGGTATTATATAACTTTCTTTTGTTCATGAACCTGGCTTAGTGCACTGCTGATCTCTTTTCAATAGGGGCCCGATCAGCATGCAGCGGTGCTATGTGGCTCATCGCTGCGGTGGTGGAGCGCTTTTGTCCCGAGTGGTAATCCGCTGGCTCTAAATGCCCCAAACTGTGATATACTGTTTCAAAACAAGGCTGGCTTATCTCCACTTTTGAGAGTGAAAAAATATAAGTAATACCCAGCAGCTCAGTCTTTTCTGCTAAGCACATTTTTTTGTTATAGGGCCCAACTCTTTTGTCCAAGTTCCAGGCTCCCCGGCTCTGCAAATAAAGCCTATGTACTCAAAAACGGGTCGCCCAACAGGGAGTGGTTAAAATCCCCAAGTGTCCCAAAGCATATGTGTTGACAGTTATAGGGCAGGAACTTCATGGGGGCCACAGAACCAATTACCTTGATGCCCTGGCCAGGCCTGGCCTTGATGCCCACTGCAATGCTCCCAATAGATCTAGACAAGTTGATTTTCTAAAATACATGTAAGTGCCCTTTTGGGGAGCAGAAATTGCCTCTTCGAGATTAAAGATCCTGCCCTGCACTTACTGCTGATATTTTGCCCCACAAGTGACAATCTCCATATCTTTGGTGAGAGAAGGGAGAATCAGGGTTGGGGTGAGGCAACCATTTGACAGGTGCCTACACTGTACATTGAATGTTGTTTTCTTGGCTTCTGAAGTATGTGGGGGAGGCATATGTCCCCCAGTGAAAGTTTGAGTCCTTACAGGTTCCCCATCCCAGAGTCTGAAATTTTAAAATGTACACAGCCTATGTAGTATAAATGACAGTTTATCCATACTGTTGGCGTGAGTGACCCCTTGCAAATGTGTAGACACCTGTGATCCCCTAAAAGTAAAACTGTTAGTCTAAAATGAAATCAATGATTTCATTCAGGACCCCCATTCATTACTGCACATGCCAGACTTTAATGGATGTCGCTTGACACACTGTGCATAAACCTTATGTATGACACTGGTCTGAAACAGCTTGAGTTTTATAAGTGAATATCAGAATATTTTCCTGGCTAAATTTGCCTTTTTATTACATTTTATTGCTTTCAGATGACTACAACTGGAAGGCCACTACAAGGAACAATTAGTGGCGTCTATATATGGAATTCTTTCCTTAGACACCCACTGGCTTGTTACCATGGTTACGGACTTGTTACATGTACCTAAACACCCCAACTGTGTCCTGCCCCAACTGCGTCCATGACGACAAAGTTGGGGCATGTCCAACTTTGGTTGTAAAGACAGACTTTAGTCTCTATAAGAAAAAGTACATGGGAAGCAGGTATTGTAAAATCGTGTTGAGATGAACACGAGAGAAAGGGAACACAAAAAATAACTGATTTAAAAAGAAACGAGTAGAAGATGAGGGGAAGGGATTGTGTGAGAGCAAAATAAGTGGAATGCAGTTATGTCAGTAATACACAAAACAGCAATTTAGCCACCCAAACCATGACATAAAAACATGTACACGTATGTAAATATCCTTCAAAAACTGGTGACAGCGCAGTTATTGCAGTCTTGTGAATTATGCCTTTGTAGGCACTAGGCCTACCATGACTACATTCAATTCTGCTAGATAACCCCAATAAAATAAAAGTCAATGAAAGCAAGTTGGACATCTGAATCTCAAGTTTTCACAGAAACGTCCACAGAAATATAAAAAGTCACCAATTTTTGTGACCAAGTTGAGTCAAGTCATTATACTACAGTGACTCAAGTTGAGTCGAGTAACTGCAATGC